GATAATTAAAGAGAGTTATGATATACAAATGGTGATCAAGATATGAACACATCCTATATTTGCCTTTGATAAGCAAGTTTTTTATGTTAACAGCTCCTTGACTAGGGACAGTAATGGAATAGTATACAGTATATGGGAAGTGAGGTGTTGCCCAAATTCATGGCAATTGAATTGTTGAATTGAATTGAAAACAAATACGAATTGTTGTCTGTCTCCATTTTGCCTAGCAGCTATTAATGCTAATTGTGAAGATGTTAATTTGAAAAGAAGAGAGTTTGATTCCAGAAATGTTTCCTGTTATTCTGTTCTGGGAAATTTTTAACAATGCTGATTGTTCTGCCTATGTGATACTTTCAGCAGCAAAATGAAGAAATACTATGTTTGTTGATTCCCTCTGTAGCCCTGTAGAAATTTGGGGGACCCTATGAAACTCAATGCAAGGAGAAATTGGCAAAAATTGAGTCCCATATAGGACACTGTCTCTGCCCCATGTATAAATGGGAGTTCTAGAATAATAGAAGCCCAAATAGATTTGATTTTTTTAGTTCCTTCGGAATGCAGAACAGAATAACAATTAAACATTTCATTCCAAAGGGATCTGTTAAGTTATAATGCTGTCTTAATTCAAGATCTTTTAAGTGTACTTTATCTCTTCAGGATTACCTTTTCTGTCAGAAAGCATTGATGTCATTTTGACAGACATTCCATTTGGAAAAAAGTTCAAAATAACAGAAGACATGAAGTTTCTTCCGAGAGTTTTTCAAGAACTTGAAAGGTATATGAGTCAATTATTATTATTATTATTATTATTATTATTATTATTATTATTATTATTATTATTATATTTCTATACCGCCCTTCTCCCGAAGGACTCAGGGCGGTGTACAGCCTATTAAAAACACAAAACAACATCAGTTAAAATAGTTTAAAATTATTAAATAAATTCGGCTGAATTTTTAAACCCCAGAATTTTAAAACCCAATTTAAAATTGTTATGTTAATAGCCCGGCCTGGCGGAACAACAGGGTCTTGAGTGCGCAACGAAATACCCAGAGGTCGGAGATCTTACGTATTTCTGGGGGCAGTTTATTCCACAGGGCTGGGGCACCCACAGAGAAGGCCCTCCCCCTGGGTGTCGCCAGCCGGCATAACTTGGCCGATGGCACCCTGAGGAGGCCCTCTCTGTGGGAGCGAACTGGTCGGTGGGAGGCTATTGGTGGCAGAAGTCGGTCTCGAAGGTACCCGGGTCCTATGCCATGGAGCGCTTTAAAGGTGGTGACCAGCACCTTGAATCGCACCCGGAAGACCACTGGAAGCCAGTGCAGCTTGCGCAGGAGGGGCGTCATGTGGGCGCAATGAGTTGCGCCCATAACCACCCGCGCGACCGCATTCTGGACCAGTTGGAGTCTCCGAGTGCTCTTCAAGGGGAGCCCCATGTAGAGTCAAATTATCTGGAATTCAATAATTAATATTAGAATGAGATTTAGTATATGATATGTAGTCAAATACACATCATAACTAGATAGAAACAATGTTACTTGATGGTAATTACCTATCTTCTAATATAAGTAATAATACTGATAAGGGAAAATATTTGTAGCTCAGAATCAAATGAGGAGTCCTTGGTGCTCTCTGAGTTTGGTTGGTTTATTTACAGATGTTTCACTAATTCCTAATCAGTGATCGGAGCACTGGTGATATTACCTAATTTGTTTCATTATAGTTAAACATCTGCAAGAAAACAACCAAGTTCAGAGACTACCAAGGATCTATCATAAATAATAGTTTCAAATAGGATGAAAAAAATATGATGCTTGTAATTACTAACAAGCTCAGAAGGGCAGGGTCTGGTCAAATAATATACAGGACTGCTGATGCTGGCAGTGAATGAGAAGTCATAGGGTACATACTGAGAAATTTATAGTAGAGTAAAGGAAATGTTCCTGACAAAGTTATTTTAATTCAGATGGGGGGAGGGGTGTTTTTAAAATAGGTTTGTTACTTTCCCCAGGAACTTTGACTGTAGCCTTGAGTTCCCTGAGTATAGGACAGTGTTCTAAGAATAGCTTATGTTTAGAACAATGTCCTATACTCAGGGAACTGAAGACTACAGTCAAAGTTCTGTTTATGTTATGTTATTATGTTATGTTTAGAACAGCTTCCAGATGTATAGTACTTCCTCATTCTTACTGTAAAGCTTACAGTACTTCCTTGAAATCTCTTCTCTAATCTCTGCTCTGCAAGGGGCAGAGGCAAACGGTCAGGCAAAAGAGAGGTTACTTACAGAAATTCTTCCCCTCCCCCACAGAACAGAGAGATTGGAAAGGAGGAACGAGTACTGTAAACTCTCTGCATACTGTGCCTGCAACTCCCAGACCTGGACTATCAATGCAGTCAGATTACTTTCGATGTGTAGAGGAGCAAACAGCTTACTCTCTTGCAATCTCTTCCTCTCCAATCTCTACTTTGAAAGGGGGAAGAAAATAGGTTAGGCACAGGATGATGTGTACTGACTAATAGCAATCACAATATTGAGGGATGCTGAGCATGTTGTAAATGGTTGTAAATTGGCCATAAAGTTATTTTTTTTAGCATCATGGGTAACCTCAGTTATTGAATATGTGGTTAGTAAGCAAAGACTATCTCTAATGTAAATATCCCAGATCCATCAAAAAATTTTGTTTTGGGTTCTTGTATTGGGTTGCAGTTGGCAGTCAAGACCTTACTCATTGTCATTTATTTCAGCTGGATAATAATGGATATAGCAATTAAGTATAATGAAATACTGACATATATGGAAAAAAACTGGAATTTGTATGATGCCCAATATTAAAATCAATTTACCAAGATGTTCACTGAGATGCTTTCTCTTGTTGTATCTTACTATATAGAAAGGTAAAGATAAAAGTAGAGAGATTGTGAACTACTTACTAGATACTCAGGAAGTTTCTTATAAAATAATAAATGTTAAACCAAGCAAGAATATATTAGTTAACTACTCTCTATTGTTTTTCAGGGTGCTTTGTTTTGGAGGAACTGTTGTACTGTTACTTAATCAAGAACTTTATAAATGTATTTCCAATGATACTGCCCATTGCTCTCGGACTGAGAGATCCATCTTGGCAGAATCTTCTACTGATTGCAGACAAAGTAATTTGATATCAGCTGAACAAGATATCAAACAAGAAAGTATTAGTTGTGGTACTGTTTCCCCCTCATCTCAAGATACAAGGGAAGAACACCTCAGTTACAAAAAGGCAGATCTTGGTTCTCTGGTGTTCATAGAATCCTTTGAAGTTAGTCTTGGCAAGACAAATGCATTCATATGCAAGTACAAGAAGATAACTTGAAGGATCTAGAAGGTAACAACGGCAAGTATGTATAAACACGTTGATGGACTTGACAATGAGAACTGCATAGCAATCATTGCAAAAGTTCCTAAGGGATTATATTAGGATCTGTAACTGAAAGCACTGGGCTAAATTTAGATGTCTGAGGTAAAAGAGACATGGTTGCTAGTCCTGATGGAAATAGACATTAATAGTGAGATAGCTTTAAGGGATGTTATTTCTCAAGCACTCCTCAAGATAACCAACATGATGCACTCTCTGAAGTGGTTGATGACAGTCTTGCATCGATTCTTGGCACTTACGCATCATCATTTTGCAATATTAGACAAGGATTATGCTTGGTGTGTCATAGTGCGTTGTACTGTATTGTATTCTGCCTTCATGAGAATCATTGTGCAGGATCTAACTGATCTTTGGGAATATATTCAGAAGAAACTTCTGAAATAGGTTTCCTGGATGCTAGTCCATTGCTGAGCATTATTCAGACCATTGGCAATTGCTTTTCATAATCTTGTGTTATGAATCTGGGAGATGAAGATTCCCAATTAATAGAAGTCTTTTTTATATTATCTGTTATTAGATTGCACTATAAGCAGATTTGTGCCTGAAAATCATAATGAATCCTGCTTCAGAAATCAGTGCTTTGTAGCAAGAAAATCCAAACTGTGTTTTTAGTATTTTTCCTAGAATTGTATGGGAAGTCTCTGAAAATACAAAACTTTAAAAAAAACACCAGAACCCAAGAAGACTAATTTTGCAACCATGCATTTTTGCACAGAAAGAACATTTTGGGGGACAGGTCTCTTTTTACACAAATTCATTATTTAACTAGCAATAAAAGGTACATTTATTTGTATTCAGAAGGAAGAAGCCAAAAGAAAATATGCAAACATTCCTAATAAAATCAAGACATTTGGTCTAATTCAAGCAATTATATTATCTGCTTGATGGATAAGAAATTACGTAAGTGCCTGTCAGCTGTTTTAGCCGTTCTGATTCAGATGCAATAGCTTTGTTATGCTTCTAATACTATAAATTAATTTACCAATGAAAAGTATAACCATTTGGACTACATAAATTGGTTCAAAATCAGGGAACTTTTTAACACTAAACATTTACATTTCCTAATTCAATGTGTGTGTAAGAATGGTAATGTAGAAAATTGATTATATTATTCCTCCTGTTCATCTATAAATTCTAAAAATCTAAAGGGAATACTCCAATTGTTTTTGTAATGGTCATGACCTACCATAGTCATAGTAGCAACATCAGGTATATTTGGAGCAAGCATATGAAGAAAAGTTTTTTGCTGGTAGTATATGTCCATTTTGAGGATGGCCAGTGCCATTGACAGTTACAAAAAAATAAATAGCTGGCATGCCCATAAGTTTGTCTCTTAGCTTTATGGTACTGGAAATAGCTGAGAATGAATCTGTATGTACCTATGTAAAGGTACTTTTTTCTTTCTTTTGCATTGGCACCATGGAATGTTGCAAAGGTAGGCAAGAGCTAATGTAGGGACTATTTCACATAGTTTTGTCCTTAAAAAATTAAAGGAATGCATTTATTAAATTGAAACGGGTGTAACCAAATAAAGAATATCCTTTGTAATTTGTGGCTGTATTGTTTATAAGAAGAGCCATATCCAAGTCATTTGTTCAGGAATTTTATTAACAGAAGATAATATGCCATTATTTTTAAACAAAAAAACTAACACATAGTATGCATTATTTCCAATAATGCAAATGCTGTAATTCATTTTATAAATTTCATCTTTTTTATATATGGCATTGGATTGTATATGAAACATGAACATCTTTCAGGGAACTATAGGCATAAATTTTCCTACATAAAGTAGCCTATCCCCTTCTGGAAGTCATTCTACTCTAGCACCTTTCTGTTTCTTCTAAAAACAAATGATTCATTCATTTCTTACACAAGAAATCTTTGAACATCATTCTACTAACTACTAAAAATAATTAATAGAGAAGACTAAATATCACCTAACAAGACAAAAATAATATAAAATATAATTAAAATAAGGAAACATTCTTACCAACTGGATAATATGGCAGTGCTTTTGTTGTTTTAACCTTGTATACCAAGTTATTTTTTAAAAGTCATTTTATTTATTTTCAAGATATATGGCCATTAAGCTGAACCTCATGACACTGGTCAGCAAATAGCAACTGAAACAGCAACACAGTTTTCTTGTTCAAGTAGAAATAGTTCCATTTCATTTGTGACATGTATATTGTGCTAAATTACCATCATTTCCACAACAGTTTTTCTGTCTGAATTTGATCTATCAGCCACCATGGAAACGTAGATGTGCTTTGTGTTTCCTGGCTACTAAGTCAATGTTCAGTATTTAATGGATTTGGGTTTTGTTTGTGCTTGGATTCTGAATTAAGCTCCCTTATGTATCTTCCGGTTGCCTTATAAACAAAAAAAGTATCTCCATACTAAGTCATACAGAAGAGTCTCTGGTAGATTTTAGATGGCTAATCTTTGTCCTGCTAATAAATGGGTAAGTGGTACAAAGGCATCCTGCTGCTACTATAAGTCCTAAACTGCACCATGCACAGAATATAGACCAGCTGTATCCATGTTCAACATCATCAGGCAGACCATAGATGATTTTGGGAAGGCGGTTTAGGTCAAAGGATATACTTGTTGCATAAGTACAGAGAGAAATAGTGCAAAAGATGCCTATAAAGGAAACATATAACAGAGTTAAAAGATGTATAGAAATAGGAATTTCCAAATAATCTAGATACACATAAACTTTTAATTGTGTTATAAGAATTTGCACTTACAGGAATGGCATTGATAATAATGTCATGCAATGTATCTGTCATCAGAATTGTATCAGGAAAAAATTGACATTTAAATTACAGTATTATAAAGCAAATATGTCCTATTGTAATAATTTTGAAACAACATAGGTGGTAAACAAATTGAATAAAAAATTTTAGTACTTTAAAATAGTCATGATCCAATTTTTTATTTCTGAGTTTTATAAAGAATATTCAGGTCAAACGAGCAGAATTAAACTTTTCAATAACTCCCAAAAGAAGTTTCAGTCCCAGGATTCCAAGAACTGGGATTCAATCCCAAAATATTCCCTACTTTGCAAAAAGAACTGGTGCTTCTTAAGTGCCCAATTTTTAATCAATATTTTCATATATTATTTTCATGTATTTTAAATTAAGGTCCTTTTGTTGCCATCATCTTGGATAGATATTGGGGTTGGAATTCATTAAAGTTAGTTTAATAATTTTATTTTATTTATTAAATTATTTTCATATTTCTGTATTCTACCTCCCCTAATTTCTGTAATTCTCTAACTTATGTAATTCGTAAGTTTGAGAGCCAAATCAGATGAATCATGTTTTTTCAAAACTGATACTTTGGATGCCAGTGAGCAGGGTCTATAACTGCAGGGTCTACTGCTGAAAATCTGGACTGGAACTAGAGGCAATGATTACCAGCCCCTGAGAACGCAGAAGACAACTGGTGAAAGGTCATAAACTAGCACAGCAAAGAAATCAATAGCTGCTAGGGGAAGTTTATGAAAAGAGATAATTTGATACTGGATTGCTTGATACATTATATACAGTACTATGTATTTATTTATTTATTTATTTATTATATTTCTATACCGCCTTTCTCCTGTAGGACTCAAGGCGGTGTACGGTCAAGAAAAATATAAACAAACATCATAAAATTGCTAATTAAAATTATTATTATAACATAATTTGGCCCAATTAAATAGAACCTAAAATTAGATAACATTTTAAAAACATTCACATGTTCATATGTTTAGCCCCGCCTGTTGGAACATCAGGGTTTTGAGTGCACGGCGGAAAGCACGGAGATCAGGGATATTTCGTATCTCAGGGGGCAGTTCATTCCAAAGGGTTGGAGCCCTCACAGAGAAGGCCCTCCCCCTGGGAGTCGCCAGTCGGCATAATTTGACTGACGGTACCGAGTAGTCCCTCCCTGTGAGAACGAACTGGTCGGTGGGAGGCTATTGGTGGCAAAAGACGGTCTCGTAGGTACCCAGGCAGGTCCTAAGCCATGAAGCGCTTTAAAGGTGATAACTAACACCTTGAATCGCACCCGGGAGCCAGTGCAGCTCGCATAGGAGAGGTGTTACATGGGCGCAACGAGCTGCGCCCATAATCACCCGCGCGGCTACATTTTGGACCAATATAGTGTATAGTGTGACTATGTGGCTCTTGCAATATTGAGGAAAGACTACAGCCTGATTTACACTTTTGTAACTTGGCATAGTAGCAAATGGACTGATTAATAGGTGCTTACCTTAATTCTCTGCCAGATTCTTGTGAAAATAGGGAAGAAAACAGATTTGATGGTATGTACATATAAGGTACAGTATTTTAATTCAGAAAGATCTGTAGAAATTGCTTGCCTGAGGATTTGCTGTGTGTTCTCGGCAGGCAAGGATCTGTGACTATTCCAATTCTGCATATCCTAATATAATTTATATCTGTAGATAATTCATGTCTCATTTCCAAGTTGCTGAGGTATAGTTTAAATTCAGGCTTTCTTGATAATATTTAAAGCAGCATTTGGACTTCAATACATCAACATTTACTGACATGTCTAGCCTAGTAATAGTAGCCTGTTTGGCTTAGGTTTTGCAGAACATAGAAATTTTTTATTCCTGGAAGTTATTTTCTGGTACTACTGGTCTCCTGAAATTAATGTCAGCTCTGAACCATTACACAGCCTTATGTGACCTGGTAATCTCAAATCAGCCTTTAGGATTTTTAAGTACAGTGCAAATTATTGAAAATAAATAAGAGTATCCTTCTCTCAACTCTTGCAGAATTGAATGCAAGAGAAGGAATCTACCTCACAAAGGAGACAATAACAAAATAAATAGAATAAATATACCATTGTAATGGCTTTTCATAGTCTTTCATGGACTATCCATAAATATTCCTCTTCCACTTTCACTTTCAAGTAGGTAGTCAAATTATTTTGGCATCTGAAGTAAAAAAAGCCCCCCAAATTACTCTTCCCAGTTCTAGCAGTGAAAATAGAATAACTACATTTAAAAACTAACAGACAAAAAAGAAAGTGTACCTGACATGAGGAAAAGAAGACCAGCAACATGCTGTGTGAGGCTTTTCTCCCAAAAGAAACCAACTGCAATTACAATGCACCCACAGAGAAGAACAGCTGCTGCCATCCCAAGAAAACCTGCTGTAATTCTTCTTAGATCTATTCTCATAAGTGAAGGAAGTGATAAATTATCAGCACACATTAAAATTACATTAAACCTATTATGCATGCACATTCCTAGAAATAAACTACAGGTAGGTTACTCAATGACAATAGGGAACAGAAATATCCATTGCTACATGATATGGTCATTTAAGTGAGCTGTGCCCAACTGCAAACTTTTTTTGTCATGGTCATTAAGTAAATCACAGTCATTAAGCAAATAATGTTATTGTTTCCCCCATTGACTTTGCTGGCTGGAAAACTCCTGAGTCACAAACGGTGATCATAAGACCTCAGGATGCTGCAATAGTCACAAATACAGTATGAGGACTACCGTAGTCATAAGTCACTTTCTTCAGCACCATCATAAGTTCAAACAGTTGTTAAATGAATAGTAGTTTATTTATTTATTTATTTATTTATTTATTACATGTATTTATATGCTGCCATTCTCCCGAAGGACTCAGGGCGGCGAACACAAGTTAAGAAACAAGTACAATAAAATCATAATTTAATCCAAATAATTAATTAGTAGTAAATAATAAACCCCGGAATCAGTTAAGTTGAGGACTACCCACATGTTAAATGTAATATGAATTTTTAGTGATAAATAATTGCCAGGTCATGGAGCTATTATTTCTTGCCAATTTTAATAAGAGAAAAGGGATGGACACATCTTCTGATTTAGCTTTTCATAAGGTTTTAAAAACTCCTTTCTAAAAAAAATTAACACTGGCCATTTCTATGACCACTTCTAACCCATTTTTGCACCTGTTACTAAAAAAAAATGTACTATTAAATAGGTAGCCTTTTGCTATCAAAAAGTTATTCTACTCTACTCTAAAAGGAAATTTTGCTACATCTATATTTGTTAAAGTTTATTTAACAAACTGACAGGATGGTGGATTGTTTATAAAATATTATGACATTTCCAAAGCTGGTATGATGCGATACATTTTCTTTGAATGCAATAACCTTAGAACAGGTAACATTGTGTACTAATATTTATTTTCACATTTGTAACCTGCCTTATATCAATGGAGCACATCATATTAGAAAGACCACACACATTCAACCTAAATACACAAGTACTTACGTAACAAGTGCCATTCATCCTGCTGGATAATCTTTGTTAAATTGATAGGGATGTTCCATAAACGTCGTATTGGTGTGGCAAAGTGATACTTGATTGCTGTACATCTCTGAGCAATACCTTTAGAAAACACAAAAATATTTAATGAATAATTCTGAACAGGTTCTGGGTGATGACTTTTTAACATAGAGAAATCCAGTAAATGAGATGCTTCCAAATGAGACTTATTGTGAAATTGAAATGTTTATAAAGTAACCGCCTTCTTCAAAGAATTTATATGAAGGGGTAGGGACTACTATCATCTTTTTAATTATAGTCTTGCATTTTCCCACCAATGACTGTGATGCCTATCTTGGATTTTATCTTTGCTTTTTTGTTATTAATTTTTAATTTTGCTATTGTTTGGAATTTGGGTATTTATTATTATATTTTTCATATTAGAACTTGTACACTGTACAAATTTTACTGGGGCAAGTTATAAATTCTGTACGTAAGCAAATGAAACCAATAAGCCAGCATTGACACCCAGAAGACAAATCATAATTTATAATTGTATTCATAAAACTTATGCAACTGGTTTAATGGGACATATTTTACAGTAGTAAGCCAGCATTGGGGTTGGAAAGTGCTAAATACTAGCCTGTAATTTCCAGACTAAACTAGGTTGTCCAGTCATAAACCGGCCTATTCTAGGAATGCTATCTCTGTTTTATTTATTTTTTAACTTTTCCCCCAACCCACTATAGAGAGGAAGATGTAAAAAAGGGGGGGGGGTAGAAATGACTGGTCTGGAGCATTGATAGAAACCTCACAGGTTTGGTGTTTACTTTTGCCTCAAATAGATTAAAAAAACAGTAGCTGAGAAGCAAAGATGGCCACTTGACTGGGATTTTGAATCACTAACTCCCAGTGCATAGGGACGTATCCCCTGGGATAGCAGCTGGGAGGCAGAGCAGTGTCCACACATAGTCTATTATTACTTTGAAGCAAAATCCCTACTGGCAATTAGGTAATAGACCAGTGATGGCTAACCTTTTCTGGACTGAGTGCCCAAAGCATGCATGCGCGCCTGAACCCCCAAAATGCAATGTGCACGCCCCCACATGAGTCTGTGGCCCCCCGCATGTCCCCCACACCCCATGCATGCGCATGCAGCCCTCCGCATTTGCCCCACCCTTTACTTGAATATCTTCAAGTAAAGGAAAAAAGATAAAGACAAAACCCAATTTAAAGAGTACTAAAAGGCTTGCCATAATAAAAATATCTTAGCTACTTATCTAAAACCAACTGGAAAAAAAGGAGGTCCACATAAGTAAAAAGGTAAAGGTTTCCCTGCCAATTATGTCTGACTGTAGGGCACAGTGCTCTCTTTGTTTCTTAGCCGAGGGAACAAGAATTGACTGAAGACATGATACCTACTTATCTACTTGCATTTGCATGCTAGGTGGGCACCACATTGCGTGGAGCTCTGATCTTGAATCTGGGCTGTCAGCTCTCCAGCTGACATGCTTAGTGTCTTTAACCACAGAGCCATCACACCCCTCACATAAGAAGTAGTGCCATTTAAAAAAAAAACCTTTTGTTTCATAGTTAACCATGTTTCCTTTCTGGCAAAAAAAAGGACTACTGAAGGTGACTATAGCTGATAAGTAGATACCTGTGAAAGGAGATAATCATTTAAATATCCTGATGTAATAAAAATATTTGTTTAAAACAATACATTAATAGACATGCTGAATTAGGCTCATTAGTTGCCATATATAGTAGCAAACATTAGTCGATAGTGCCTCAAACGCAAATCCTGTTTATCAAATAGAAAAGATTATTACTCTGGAAATAATCTGATTTATACAACATGTTTGGTAGCTACCTTTTTCTGTCAAGACACATTACTACAGCATGGGAAACTATCTGAAATTTTATAAAAGATGCACAAAATAATCACAATTTGAGAAGTCCCAGCTTCTGTGGCAGTAGGGTGGAGTATTTCCTTTGGTTCTTTGGTTTGGCTGACTATAAATATTAAGAGGTCTCCCTAGAGAAACAAACAGTGAGAAGTTATAGAATGATTCTGCCAATTATGATCATGAAAGCACTTATTCTTACAGTTTTGCTGCTAACAAGAGAGCATATCCCCAACTGAGTGACAAACTTCACAGTTTCTGATTGTGCAGTACAATTAAAACAATTTATAGCCCAATTTTCAAGAACAAATATATGCAATTAAAATTTAGTTCTGATGCACTAGCTCTGTCTGAAATTCCTAAACTAATTAGAAACCATTAGAAAATGGTTTTGAAATTCTTCTTTTTGTAAGAAATTTATATAAATTTTGTTATTTTTGTCTTTACAATTTAAGAACCATATTGCGATGGATATGGGAAATGTTCTTTTTTAACAAATCAATAGGTTAGAGTCTTAAATAATGTTATATTAATATTGTATATTTTTAAAATGAGACTAAGTTGACCAAAGATTATTTTTCAAATAAACTGGATGCTTCAGAGGACATTTAGCAAGGAGTGGACTGTATCTTCTTTATGCTAGAAGTCCAATATGGAAGAGGGGACTTCTATTTGTACGTTCTGGCAGCTGCACATTGACACCAGTTTAGTCTAATATTCCTCAGGTTGTAAATGGTAAAGAAATTTCATGGTTCAAAGGTAAGAATGTGATGCTGAATTATATTCTGAAATTTTGGGATTTATCAAGCTACAAAGAACTTTGATTAATTATGCATGGATAAGAACTAAATAAATTATTTTACTTCAATGGAAAAACTATATAATGTATATTGCTTTAAATGTACATTTATACAATTTACAATTGAATAAATTCTTCCACCACTGAAAAATCTGATCACATAAAATTCTTTGTGATCATATTGTTTAAGGTATGAATATTGTATTATTATATAATGTGATTTTTAAAAAAACTTTTTTGTTCTTTGGAGAGATTTCCTATATTTTATGGGCTACTTTCATTAAATGTGAATGCTAAAATTCTAACTATTGCTTGTGATACAAAAAGTTGTGCTATACAATAATGCATCTGAAAATGGCAAGGCCTATTTAAAAGGGGGGATAGCGGAAATGATTTTCTGTAAAACAATATTCATTCTCCAGAGGCCACAGAGGATTATAGCAGTTATGTGGCAACACTGTTTAGTTTTTAAAAAGTTGTTCAGTAATTATGACACTATCCTGTAAAAAGAAGACTATTAAAAGAAGACCAGTTAGACGATACCACTGTGGGCACCATGAACTACGTGACTGTCTGCTCAGGTATTCAGCCCAGGTGAATGACCGAACCACCCAACTTGAATATCATAATGTGGAGAGACACCAAAATGCTATTGCTTACAAGGAAGAGCATGTGGGCAGTAAACATTTATATCTGACAGTACCAGAACTTGTCTAGATAATTTAACAGGAATGATAAATATCAGTTTAGTAAGGTATGTTTCAGAGTAGCTAATTACTGGAAATGTCTATTATTACAGTAGTGTGCCTGCAACCTGTTACCCTATTGCTGTTAATCCTGCCTACATTTGTTCTTTTGTCTTTACCTTCTAGAACCTCAATTATGTCTTCAACTCAGGGATGAAATTCAGCAGGTTCTGAAAGGTTTGGAGAACCGGTAGTGGAAATTTTGAGTATTTTGGAGAACCAGCAAATACCACCTCTGGCTGGCCCCAGAGTGGGGTGGGAATGGAGATTTTGCAGTATCCTTCCCCTGCCAAACCCACCAAGCCACACCACGCCCACCAAGCCACGCCCACAGAACCGGTAGTAAAAAAAATTAATTCCACCACTGCTTCAACTGGTTTGGTTTCTGACTTCTTAACCAATTTACTCTGGCCATGAATGACTCTTTTTTAACAACTGGAAATATAACAATGCTTTGTTTCCAATTCAGTTTTGAAACTTGGCTTTAGATATGAAATTTATTTGAAGCTTAATTTTCTTACTCTGTTATTTCAATTTAAAAGCCCCCATGTAATATTTTTTTTTACACATTTATTTCTACCTGTCTTTTGGGCTAAACATTGATAAGGCAATTTTCATTAAAAGGATTAAAAGCAAAACAAATAAAAGTTGTACACAATTAAGTAACTGTATGTTACTTGCATAATGTAAGTATGGGCTGTCCAAACATGTGATTCATATATATCTATACTTAGTATGAAAACCTGATACTACCTAGCAATTTCTTCATTCTGGAATTTGTTCTTATGATAGCAATAGCAATAGCACTTAGACTTATATACCACTTCACAGTGCTTTACAACCCTCTAAGCGGTTTACAGAGTCAGCATATTGCCCACAACAATCTGGGTCCTCATTTTACCGATCTCAGAAGGATGACAGGCTGAGTCAACCTTGAGCCTAGTGAGATTTGAACAGCTAAATTGCAGGCAGCCAACAGGCAGCAGAAGTAGCCTGCAGTACTGCATTCTAATCACTGTGCCACCATGATCCTCACTGAAACAGTGACTGAGGAAAATCTGTTCAAGTACTGTAGAGTTTCAATTTAGGATATTTTATATCTGAAAAAAAACAAATATTGCTAACTGGTTAAACAATTTGGTCAAGAAAAAATAATTTTAATATTTCTGAAAAAGAACATCAGTTTCCAGAACAATACCTACTACATTTTTATTTAACCCAGAAATTAAAGCCTGACATCTTAAGCATTTCAATGTTGTGAGTGATTAGGTTGCTTAATTATGGCAGAGAAAGCTACAATTCAAATTTTCAATTATCTGTTTGACAGAATTTAGCAGGCTAAAGTCAAATAAGGAAGAGAGCCATATTTCTTCCCAGGAAGGATGATAAAATATCATGAAATATTGCTGATTTGGAAATAACGAATATCCATTAGCTTGGGCAATATGAAGAGAAGTCATTGAGGTTGTACTTCATCCTTTCCTTGCCCAATTCAACACTATCTCAAATTACTTTTCTCTGAAACTGTTTTTCTCTCCAAAGTATACAAGAAAATAATATTGCATGTAATATCTCATCTCTTAAAGAGAGTGCAGCACATAAAAGACCTGTTAGTCCAGTATTCAACACTTGCAATGACTAAAAAGATACTTCTATTTGAGAAAGCTCATAAGCACGGTATTACTCTCATTATATTCACTAAGTGCTACTTGAAGATAGATTGATGGAAATAATATAGACCCACTGATAACCCTGTCCTCCATTGTAATTCTCGTTAAAACTGTCCAAGCCAGTGGCCATTACTACATCTCTAATATAAATTCTACAGCTACATTATTGGCTGCAAAAAGTTTCTTTATTAATTTATTACAAAAGCTTCTATCTTAGTATACTTCAATCACATACTCTAATGGCAGACAATACATGTTATGCGTATTGAAGATATCAATAATAAAGCTGCCAACAGATTGAAAATCACAAAAATATACACATCAATCAGCTCAAGTATATCTCCTTCACCTCGGTCTCCAACTACACATTTAAAAAGCCACATTTTAACAGCTTTTTGAATAAAAGGGTACAAGTCTTACATTTAATGGGAGGCTAGTCCATAGGAACGGACATCTCACAAACAAATGTTTACTTCCCAATCCCCTTTTGTTACTTTACATGGATGGGGACTTTCATCAGGCCTTCTTCACAGGATTGCCCTGGGCAGGGAGATTCTATTTGGAGCAGGTGACTTCAAAGAAAGACAAGCTTCAAGTCATATAGGACCTTAAAAGGTGATCATAGGCTTGCTCCCACCACTCAGCATTAATGAATAAGCCCAGAATCTAGTATTGTAGTATGACCAAGGAAGACAAGCACATCTTTATCTTCTTTTTCCTCTTTATGTATAATTTTCTACTTCACAATGTTCCTATACAATTTGTCAACTAGAATGACAACAGATATGATCCAGTGCCTTCTGGATTTTTTTCAGATATACAATATCTTCTTGAAATTAATGGTCAGAATCATGGACACTTTTTCAAGAGTTTTGAATAAATAAGTTTTCTTTATTTGATCCCTTCCCAATAATCCATTCAGGATTATAGATTATTGGGAATATTTTAGTTCAACTAGAGTTGCATTCTGAGTGAACACTTTAACTGAGCTATCTGCTATAAAGTAAACATCCTTTCCATATTAAGTGACTGAAAGTTTAGAGTGTAAAATAATTTACAGTAAATTGCTTTTGCTATTTTGAAAGTCCATTTACTTATCTGGACACATTGGTATGAAGCTAGTATGAAGACTTGGGAGGATGCCTCATGTAAAATGTTTATATATAAAATATAGAAGACATGAGAGTTTTCCTCCTGGAAATATAAACAGAAAAGCAAAAAGTCAAAATGCTAGTTTCTGAGGTGAAGAAGTGTTCTATTATTTCAGAAATATGATTAGTAGTTTCTATCAGCTGAAGGCAAAAATGTCATCTCTGCAAGACAGACCGTTATGCATCAAAAAGAGAAGGTCATCTTGCCTTTGCTTTATTAGGTGTAATGGATCCACAGCATTTTCAGAATGAAAGGATACTCTTGAAGCACAGCCTAAAAGATGTACAATGAAATAAAAGAAATGGTAACCAGTGGATGGTCCTTGCATATTGAAGAGAAAATATTCACTATTATAACAGCTGTCTTATGTATTACTCTGTTTTGGGAGTTTTGAAAACAGATTGGTAGCTACCCAAACTAGATGCTATGGCATGCTGAATAATTGCTTAGTTAATTTAAGGTTACTATATACTATACAGATTATGAAGATACATAATGCATGGGAAAGAAAGAGGTATAGAACGAAACAGGCTAATACATGGGGTTCAGTCACTGAGAGGTTGAAGACGACTATGGATTCATTGGGTACTTTGTAGGATTATTGCAAATTAACAGATAACATAATAACGTTTAGGAAATTAATATGCACTCTCCTGCTCCTTGGTCACTAATAAAATGCACTCTACTAGTGATGTGCAGCATAAATGCCACATTGGAGAATGCTCTTCTATATCCACATAGTCATCAGGATGTTTTCTTTTTCTTCCATCCATCTAGTATTACATTTGCAAAAAACTGTGAGAAAAATAGGAGAAGGGTGGAAAGCACAACTAGTATTCAAGAAAGTTATGGGCAGCATTGCAGGGCAGAAGAGGACTATTGAGGACAATGACTAGCACAATGATGACAACCAACAACTGTAACAATGTAAAGGAAAGAAGTGAAAGAACAAAGAGACAATGCCATGATTAATGATTTTGTATGATGATGGCACTAGATGTGCTGGCAAGAGGCGTATTTGTGTGTATTCTCAGGAGTTGTGACCTGGAGATGACAAGTGCATTATAGTAACATTCTAGACACAGGAGCTTTCAGGATGGAATTCACATAATTATGGTGTGGAGTGACAGACTTTTGGGGAAGAAAAGGAGATGCATATACAAAAGAAAAATACATATAAATAGACATATGCATATATCATGTGACACCATGTATATATCCATATAGTGAAGGAATTATGGTGGGGCCTGCACTTTGAGGTGGTAACAGAGGGAAAGGAGAATGCAAGCTGCAAACCCCGCCCGAGGTCGCCCCCTCACCTCTGTCCAGTAGGTTATCCAGATCTTGGTCGACCCCCAAGAAGTAGCATTTCCTCCAGAGACCAGCGTAAGTGGCGAAGAGCGGCCGGCCGCACCGAGATTGCAGCCACCGGAGCCCCAGGAGCGTTCTCCAGTTCTCTAGCTGCAGCAGCAGGTTCCCGGTGGGGGGAACTGCCTCCGCACTGCCTCCGCGAGGGACCCGTGGCTTGGCATCCCGTAGGGGCAGGTGCGGCAGCGGCAGGAGTCGGCGGCGTTGGTCGGGGGAGTGGGCGCTGCCGGCGCGGTCCTCGCAGCTCTCCCGGTGGCGCCGGGGGTCAGTCTCGTACCAGTGGTCGGTGAAAATGGCCGTGACGAGCAAAGCCAACGAGCAGAGGCTGAGGCACAAACTGAGGACACGCGCTCGCGCGCCGCCCATGACTCGCCCCCGGGCGCCCCTCGCCTGGCACGCAGCGTCTTTCAAAGGATGCCCGTCCTAATTTCAGGGCTTCCGCGCATGGTGCAGCGAGGGACAGCAAGGGCGTCCAGAAGGAGCCTCCAGTTTCTACTCGGTCGCATAATCAAGCCATCGACTGGCTAGACGGCGGCGCCTGTCCCGCGTTCATTGTTCACTCTCCACGGGTGGGTCGCGCTACACAAAAGGCAGCCCAAGAGTCTTGCAGTACCGCTGGGGAGACGCCAGGGGGAGCAAGATGGCCGCCCTAGCGTCAACTGATCGGCAGCGACGCCCGGGAGCAAGAAAACGCGCGAAGCCAACTCGGCCCACTGGGAGAGGGCTGAGCAAGGCTGCGCGGCCGAGGATCCCTTTGTCTTAACGAGGAAATACTATGCGTGTTCTCGTTTATTCTAGTTAGCCCAACTGACCGCAGGAGGGAATTTCATGAGGATAAGCATATTCTATTGCAGCCTTTTCATTATTTAGGAATGAAGAACCTGAAATGGAATGCATCTCAAGAGTCCTTGTGGGGAGAATAGAGCATATTAGAGCATGTGAAAATGTCAAACGATCTCATTATTTAATTAGCATTGCCTCATGCTTTTAGGATTAGTACTTTGTAGGCAGGAGAAAGGGATCAATTCCAAAAACATTCTATCACTTAGATGTGAACAGGGGGTGGATTTCAATTCACTAGGTGTGAAATATCCACCGAAACATCTTGTACAGTAGATGTAGGCACCATATTGAGAGTATTTACTGGCAGCTCTCACATGACTGGGGGGGGGGGGGTAGTATTGACAAAGTCCAATGGGTTTGGGTGCAGCCAATCTATCCATTTATCCAAATGCAAAAATTGCATATAATCTGAAGAGAAGCGGAACTTAAAAGTGTATCTACATTTTAATACAAAACATGTTCCCCACTCTCTAGGTACAGAAAGTGAAACAAATATATTTATATCCTATTTTTTCTGGTCGCTGACCTGAAATAAACAGATAGGGACCATTCTCTGTGGGTCCCAAGTCTTACAAATGCTATTTCAGAATCAGAATATTAATAAGTATATTCTGCCAACTATTAAGGTACCACGTAGGGCCATGAGATGTTTGATCTATGATATACATTTTAAAAATAGCATAGTGTAGCCCTTTTAAGGCTGATTGGCTTACCCCATGCTATGTAAACCCTTCATTAAGGCTAGAATCTGGCCAAATTTCAATAGACGCCTACATCCTCCCCACTGTATGCCACTGAATCATTCTAGACTCTTTCTGGTTTACAGTAACAAAAATATGCAATAAAACTTCCATGCTAATAAATCACAAATCTCTCCCTACCCCACACACACAAACAACATAATATAGAGAGACAATTAGTTTAGGTGCTGGCCTAGAAACCAAGAGACTGTGAGCTCTAGTCCTATTTTAGGCATGAAAGCCAGCTGGGTAGCGGGGCAGTCACTCTTTCTCAGCCCAGCTCACCTCACAGGATTGTAGTTGTGGGGAAAATAGGAGGAAAAAGGGAGTATTAGGTATGTTCATCACCTTGAGTTATTTATAAAGTAATAAAAGTAGGATTTTAAAAACTCTAATAAATGAAACAAATAAATAATGCAGTATATAGGGTTCACAGTAAAAAGATCCACAAAACACTTACCAGTTTATACAATTTATCAACTTTATATGCTCCCACATCTCAGAATAAATGACTCAGATGGCATATAGCAGAGGTCCCCAACCCAAAAGCTGTGGCCCACTACTGAGCCGTGGCCTATTTGGAACTGGGCCACGTGAGCCGTGGGCTGTTGTGCAAGCGTGCAGCTTGATTTGGGCAAGCAGCAAGCCAGCGCGTGTGGACACACGCATAGCTCACCTTGCACAAGTTGAACTGTGCATGAAAGGTTGGAGACCGCTGGCATATAACAAAAAAGTATAAAACAAAAAACATAAAGCACAGCTTTTAAACTTTTTGTAAAGAAAGAAGTGCACACAAAAGATTAAATAAGCAACAGGTTCAATCAGTTCCAGAACATCCTGCGTTGTCATTGAAATATTGATTTAAATCAATCCCTTTTGACAGCCCATCTTCCCCATTTACACAGAATAAATTTATATCTTTATGGACAATTAGGATAAATTCGGACTCATATTCAAGTGGCTTTACACAATTTTTAAGCTTAGCTGGCTTTGAAAAAGCTCTGTCCATAGGTTCTAGCTTGCCTAATCCTGTTACACAGCACATACTGAGAGATGCTTTCCTTCTGGAGGAGCCATTGTTCAGTGGCAGAGCACCCTTTTCTAGAAACAAAACTGGTCTCCCGTTTGCAATTGTGCAACAGAGTGTCAACATTTGACTGCAGACATAACTAGCATCTAAAAGCAATAGAAGATGTTGACAGTGAATATAAATAGTGTAACTTTTATTTGCCAAAAATGTTCAGTGTATTTCCAATTATAATGCATGGGATAATTATGTGTGGCAAACACTCTGGGTATATACCAAATATATATATATTTGGTATATAGATATATACCAAATATATATATATATATATATATCCAACACCTAGAATCCAGAGTGGTTTGGGGATTGTGATTTATTGTTGGGATAACTAGTTACCATAGAACATATTAACATATTCCCTATGTATACATACATTTTTAAAAAACTTTGTACTCTTCTTTTCAGAATTAAATGGGCCACATGAAACATTCTAAAGACTAATTAAGTAACACTAATTAGAATGTGTATTATTTATCCATGATAGACTTCATTCCTCTTCACAAGCTTGTATGAGCCATGGGGGCACAGTGGTTAGAATGCAGTACTGCAGGCTACTTCTGCTGACTGCCAGTTGACTGCAATTTGACAGTTCGAATCTCACCAGGCTCAACATTAACTAAGCCTTCCATCCTTCCGAGGTCAGTAAAAAGAGGACCTAGATTGTAGGAGGCAATATGCTGACTCTGTAAACTGCTTAGAGAGGGCTATAAAGCACTATGTAAAGTCTATAAATCTAAGTGCTATTGCTATTATATACACAGAAATTGCTCACAACATTTTACTGCCAGAATCAGAATTCCTGCCTTCCTAAAAAGCAGGGTACCCAACTATTGTGGCTACCATTGTGCTTTGATCCCTAGGACAAAAATTCCTATCCCTATCTATTGAAAAATAAAATATGGATATAATAAATACATTTTCTATTTATGCCTTCTTTATAGCTAAGCCTCAGATTTACAACAGAATCCAAATGTTAATAGAAACATCGGACTTCTCCAGATTATATCACAAACTATTCAAAAAGGGAAAAACAGGTTACCTAGGACCCGTGTGCCAAAAAATAGGGCGGTCTTGACTTCTCTACTCAAACATTATAATTTGCGCAATAGGATTTTGATGCCTTCCTAAGATGAATTCGCTTTCTGCTGTCGGTCTGCATCAGATCTGCATAAACAAGAGTTGTGTGTGCAGCCCAATTTCAGAATCGGAGCCTTTCCTCTCCCACGCACCCGCCTAATAAACAAGCACGCCGCATTACAAGGCAGCGCTTCAGGGAAGGTGCCAAGTGATCATCCGTCCTACAGCAAAGGGTCAGCCTAGCTACCGAATTGCAACCCCCGTCCCTCCGGAAGGCGCCTGGTGCAAAAATGACTTTATATACACTTACGCGAAAGTCAGACCGACGAACCTAAATTCGACAGAAAGCGCAACGTACCGTACTGTAAACAATTGTATCCAACTTCCTACATAGCCAGTACACAGCTTTACAAATTAAATGAAAAGAGCTGATAGTAATCAGATCTGAAAAGGTCTGTCCATCCTTCTATCCCGCCAAGACTGAGAAGGGTCCGCCGGTTCGCCATTAAGCCAAGAAGGGTTCTTGGGGTCCCGGATTCACCGTCGGCTGAGCGCTGGAAGGCAAGAAGTCGCCGAGACCGCACCAGCTGCTCCCGCTCTCGGGTCCGAATATTTGGCCTCAAGAGTGTTCCAGGCCGGCCTCCCTCGAGCATGCCCAGATGCCTACCAGCCTCACCTTTCCCTTACGCCGCCTCTGCCCCCCGCCCGCTGCGTCCTAAGTCTTGCGAGACAGCCGCCGGGCAGCTGAAGATCCTGCGCGCATGCGCATGCGGTGACTGCGGCCGCCATGTTGCCTGAGCAGAACGGGGGGTGGTGGCGTCGGTGGTGATCGCTCCGAGTCGTCTTCTCCCTCCTCCTCCTCCTCCTCCTCCCCCCCTTTCCCCTTACCCGCCTGCTCACCCTCTTTCCTTCCTTCCCTTCCCCCACCTCGTCCTCCCGGGGGCTGCGGCGGAGCGGGCTGAGGGGGCAGCTGCGTGCTCCGGGAGGCGGCGCAGCATGAGTGTCGGCGGGGGGCGGGTGTGCGACCTGTCCCGCAGGAACCCCCAGGAAGACTTCGAGCTCATCCAGCGCATCGGCAGCGGCACCTACGGCGATGTCTACAAGGTGAGCGGTGGAGGGCGAGGGGGCTGCTTTCCTTCCTTCCTTCCTCCCTTCGCTCTTCAGCCTGCACAGGTCCTCCGCCCCGTCGTCGGGCAACCTCGCCGACTCTTCTCTCCGTCCCCCCCCCCTTCCTTCCTTGGGAAAGGTGCTTTGGGGTGACCCTTCCTCCACCTGCGAATTTTCTGGCCTGGGCAACTTATTTCAACAGCATTTCCTCTCCCTTCCCCGTGATACCCTTTTCTCTTCCCCGGCCCTGTTACACCATGGGGTTGACTCCGGTCTTCAAATCTGTCTCTCTTTATCTGTTATGAATGAATCTGAGGTGTCAGTCTCTACGGCAAAGGTCTTCAAACTTGGCAGCTTTAAGACTTGGGGACTTCAATTCCCAGAATTCTCCAGCCAGCTATGCTGGCTGGAGAATTCTGGGAGTTGAAGTCCCCAAGTCTTAAAGCTGTCAAGTTTGAGGACCCCTGCTCTATGGTGTTCCCTTCTAACTTAATTTTCAGGGGTGGGCATGGCCTTCCATACAGATTTCTTCCATCTGAGTTGGCATTATGACACTACCAGCAGGGGGAAAAAAGCCCTTTAAAAGCTTTTCCGCATGATTAACCTGGCAATTTAAATTAACTCTGTAAGCAACCTGTACCCTCTGGCCGATGAGGTCAGGCAAGGTGATAGTGGGAGGCTAAACACAGATTGTAAGGGCCAAGTAGTCAGTGTGAATCTTGGCCTCTAATCTGCTTCCCCAGGTGAACCAACTTGCAGGCCTTCCTTATGTACACTGGCTTTTCATCAGTGCCCCTCAGATTCTTCCTGAGATCTATGATGGTACGGTATTAATTTTCACCCTAAGTCATTTTTCTTTCATTCTTTCTTCTTCCAAAATCAATGTCATAAAGTTTGTGTTTTTTTCCCACAAGAAATGTATCACCTGATCATTATTTTGACAGTCCCTGAAATAATTTGGTTCCAAAACGAATGCTGTGCCTAAATGATTTTCTTTCCTGCTAGAAACTGTCAATATATTTTCGAAAGCAGGACATCATAGGTTATTTGTAGTTCCCCTTCACTTTGACTCCCATTTCCAGAAAGCGATATCTGTTTTGGATTCCCATCAGAAGTATTGTAAAGAGGCCTAATCCCAATAAAAAAAAATGCTCTTACAGTCCTTTAGCAAAGTAGGACAGCTCTTAAAACAGCAACGCAGTGAGAAATGGAAGGGACACCTTAAGAGTTATTTATATCACCATGTAAATAAGTGAACTAGATTTTTTCTTTTTTTAAGGTTAAAGCAATTGAACAGAAAACAGTCCTGTCATTCTTCGGTATCTCAATTTGATAGAACAATGTTAGAGCATGGTTGTTATCCAAGTTATAGAGACAACACTCTAGGGTGTGTGGTTACTGTATCATTCTTTTTGAGCATCTATTTAGTCTTACCATTTTTACCTGATCTTTCCAAGTAATGAAAAAAACTATTATGAGAAAGAATAGCAACAGAGAGATTACTAAATATATGTATTTAGGCTTTTATGTACAGATATAGTTTTAAATCTTTGCTTACAGTGTGGCAGGAGGACAGATGCTCAGACAACTGTGAAAAAAAAATCATGAATGGAGCCCGTGACTTGAAATAAGAGACTAAAACATGAATTTGAAATATGAGTCAGAAATAGTAACCAGGGAAATTTGCAGTCTTTGTTTGGCATTTTTAAAGAGGATAAAAACATTAGTAAACTTACAGAATTGTAATGGCTTACTAAGGTGGTTTTGAGGCCAAATTTAAAACATAACGTAAAGCACTTGGGAGGCGTCTTGTCATTTTTAATTAAACTTTTAAATACTTCCATGATTTTAAGATTGGGCCTTCTCAGGTTTATTAAACCAGCAAATAGATTTTTAACTCTATAATTTTAAAGCTGAAAGAAAAGTAAATATGAAACAATTGTTTAAATTTTCCTGCACCTAACTTTCCATTATCCTAAAACAAAATTTCAGGCTATTAAAAAAAATTAGGTAAAGTATTACTAGCTTAATTTCCAGCTAGCTATGATTTATTAATTTCATTGATTTCTGTTGTTTTTCATTTAAGCCCTTGACTTTCAACCTTTAGTGAAAAAAATATTTGCATCTTCTATAAATAAATTATTTTTAAAGTGTTGAATAGTCACAGAAGTGCGCATATAAAATATGGCATAGATAAAGCAATAAATCAGAAGTACATGCTTAAATAAATCACATTGAGATTATTTTAATATTTGTCTTCTTTTACATGCCGTAACAGAAAAGAAACAAGATTATGCAACTGAAGCTAGTCAAAAGAGTTTCTATAGTTGATTATATTTTCTTTAATCAACACAATCTATGGTTAATTAATAAAACATTAATGCTCAGCAGGTGCCACAAAATGCTTGCCAGTGATAAAGAAAAACTTAATTTTAGCAACTAGCAAAGACCAGTTCAATAATTTCTAATATTAAAACCACAACCATTTTTAAAAACAACACAGGGAGGCAAGTAATAGAAAATGCTGCTATAAAAATGTCCATATATCCTATACTGAGATGTCATAAATGCAAGGAAAGGGTTGGTATGCAGCCACATGAGTAATGGTTTGCATGCATATTTGCATACAAACACTTTACTCAATACTGTTACTGCATTAAAAGAAAAAACTCTGCCTAGGCATCATATATATATGTCTTTGGTTATTCGGGTTTTCTCCCGCGTAAAATTGGAAGTGTCTTGGCAACATTTCGATGAAGTCTCATTCGTCATCTTCAGGCTTCTGGAAGCACGAAGCCAAAAACACCAGCCTGAAGATGATGAATGAGACTTGGTCGAAACGTCACCAAGACACTTCCAATTTTACCCGGGAGAAAACCAAAGACCTATATACAAACACCCGCGAAAACCTCAGAAAATATGTGTGTGTGTGTGTGTCTGTGTGTGTGTATGTATATGTATATAATGTGTATGTAACCTGAGAAAACTATATATATATAAAACTTCTATGGAGCAAGAGGTATGAAAGCAGAGTTTTACTGGTTTCTGTAATCAATGATTAGCTACTAAATATAATCAGCATTTGTTAATTAGGCAATTAACTGCTATAAATGTTTCAAATCAATCAAAATGTTTCTTTGTTTGGGCTATGACATTCACAGTGCCCAAAGATTTTCCAGTTAGGGTATAACCAATTGTTGCTGTTTAAAAAACCTGTACAATTGTTTACATTTCTCATTTTTAGCATGATTTTAACATATATTGTGTGATGGGTCACTTCAGATTGAGAATTTATTCCTGTATATTGGTATTGTTACTTTTGCGTTAGCAGAACTGGTTGAAAGCTAGGTTTCTGAAAAATGTTTTTTTTTAAAAAAAAAAAGTCTATGTCTGGGAATAGTCATTCTTTTCATTCCATATTTATTGTGCTTCTGCGTTGCTGAGTTTGTTTTGCCTCATATCTGCTTACCAAAAAAAATTAAAATAGTCTACATAACTCTATAAAATTATTACAGTATATTACAGCATGAAACAATAAAACATCCAGGGTCAGCAATATAAACACTAAAGCATCCACAGCAAACTTTGTAACAACAAAATATCCATAATATCTACAGGTACCATGTTTCCCTGAAAATAAGACCCTGTCTTATATTTTTTTGAACCCTGACATGAGCGCTTGGCCTTATTGCCATGCACTCAAAGCCCGATTGGACTTCTTATCAGGGGATATCTTATTTTGGGGGAAACAGTATTCCGGTTATGACCGGAATTGGGACTGGAATTTCTGTCGCTAAGCAAAGCAGTCATTAAGCAAAGCATCATATGACCTTTTCACTTAGTGGCAGAGTCCAGATTGTACTTGTTAGGCTATGATCATGCTTGGATCAGGGACCAGCAATGGAAGAAAATGGCAAAGATCAGCAAGGGGCCGCAGCAGGAATAGACAGTAGAGTCCATAGCAGCCGAAAGGGCTATGATGGAGGGGGATGGGCAGGTGCGGGGAACTGAATCAGAGTCAGTTTGCACAGGGCAGGAGAATGTAACCAAGGGAAACTGTGACCAGTCATAAGTGCGGGCTGGTTGCCAAGCAGTCAGATTTGGATTACGTGACCTCAGGAGTGCTGCAAGGGCTATAACTTTGAAGACCAATTGTAATTACCTTTCATTCAGCACTATTGCAATTTTGAACAGTTGTTGAAGGAATGGTCATACCCGAGGACTACATGTAGTTCCATAAATTAAACTGATAATAATTAACTATAAACAGTCTCACAATGGACTTAAGTTGGTATCAGGGATACACCTCAGTCAGGCATTCAGATGGAAAGGTATGCATTTTAAGAAGAATTAAATTTTGTTCAGCATGTTTGTCTTAACTATAACTGTGTATATATTTGTGTATATATGCAAAGGACGGGCAGCCTTACCCAGATTTTAAAATCTCTTGGTAAGTTATCAGTAGACTATTGAAAATGCTATTTATTCCTTTACTGATAGCCTGCTGCTTGGAATCGAGTGAAGAGGGAGGCAAAGAGTGAGAGATTTCAGAAAGAGAGAGAACTATTAACTTTATGGTTCTAGTCTACTTAAATTTCACTCACGATATGTGCCCCTTGACAAGTTACCTTTAAAGAAATAAGCCTTTGACAAAAAAAAAAGTAAAATGCTAGGTTTTATTCTTGTCTAAAATATGTGAAAAAATATGTGGTCCTTTTAAAATTGTTATACCCCAATCCCCATCAGACTTTCTTAGAATGGCACACAGTCAAAAATTGATGAAATATGTAGTCCAGGATTATCCACTTTGTTCTAAAGCACGGGTCCTCAATCCCCAACCCCCAGGGCACGGCTCACTATCAGGCTGCAGCCCATTTGGCTTGCCTGCCACTGGCACAGAACCATCCCCTCCCCACCCACCCCATGGTCCACAAAGCTGGAAAGATTGGGGACCACTGTTCTAAAGCTTAAATATTTAAAAGCAAAGGGCATTAGCTTAAATAATGAAATTCAACTGCATCTGATTCTCAGCCCTGCAATTTGATTTATGGTTACTATCTCACAATATATTTGCATGTGATGCTGCAACTAAGCAAGTTTACTGTGAATATTACACTTAGAGAAAATTATAGAAGATGTTTTTTTGTTGATATGTTATTCCAATGGCTTTTTTTTTTCCAAAATAAACACTGTCAGAAATATGACAATTAAAATAGATCAATTTTTCATGCCTGGCGGCAAGGTGACAAACCACAACAATTTTAGATGATAGTTTATTAGAAGGATGGCAGATTAAGATTTGGAGGTGTACAGTGTCAAAAATAATCTCATGTAAAAAAAAAACCCCAAAAGCATGATACTGTCCTTAATTTAATTTAGAAAGTCTGCACATAGCCTTCTGCCAGATCCAAAATTTGGATCTCTTTCAACATAAGGATTTAAAATACTAGATTTTTGTCTGATTTGCCATAAATTTGAGGATTCAGATTAATTCAAAGTTATTTGAATTAACTTACTATTTTAGTTTTAATTCTTATCATTTTGGCTGCTTTTATCAACCTCTTATCAGTTTCTAATATCAGTACTTCAGAATTGTCTAAAAATATTAACTCAGAAGGGAAGGTTATAAACATCTCTCCCTCTCTGTCTCTCTCTCTCCCTCCCTCCCTCTCTCTCACACACACTTATTAATTTTTTTAATATGAAAACAAACAAACATAAAATAATAAAAAGAACAGAAAAAGAGATAAAAAATAGTGCAAGAAAGAGGAAAAAAAGAAAGAAAAATGATACAAAGAAATAGCTTCTTATTTTCTTTATAATAGTTGTAAGTACATTTATAAGTTTACCACCTGCTCTATGATTACAGCATAGCTTTCTTTCTATATTTTCTGTTTAATAATCAAAACCATAAATCATATGTTCATTTACTTCTGTTTCATGCAAAAAGTCTGTAAGGGGTTGTCAGAAGTAATTAGCCCCGTTACCTTCCTGGGGTAATTGCCTGGATCGTGGCATTCTCCTTGTGTATACTTTGAAAAAATAAAACCGGAATACATCTTCTAATAAACTCATATTTATTGTAAAGAAAATATAACATCTAACTATCTAAAAATTTAATTGTTACATTTTTGCAAAAGTTCATGGCGGCCACCTCTCTGGTCGGACTTCTTGGGAAGAGAAGAAAGAAAAGTGTGAAGTGGAAAGAAAGGAATGCGGATACACATAATTAGCTTACTGATAACAAAAGTTGGCAAGCTACGGAAAGTCTGACAGTCCAGAAATAATGAGCTCTGCTGGTAAATACAAAAACGCAGTGACAGGGGTTTCCAGTCAGCATTAAAGGTAGACATAGGTAATCCTTGATTTACAACGGTTCACTTAGTGATCGTTCAAAGTTACAACGGCACTGAAAAATACGACCATTTTTCACACTTATGACCTTTGCAGCATTCCCATGATCAAAATTGAGATGCTTGACAACTGGTTCATACTTATGACTCTTGTTGTGTCTCAAGGTCATGTGAACACCTTTGCGACCTTTAGACAAGCAAAGTCAATGGGGAAGCCAAATTCACTTAACGACCGGGGTATTAACTTAATCAACTGCAGTAATTCACTTAACAACTGTGGCAAGAAAGGTAATAAAATGGGGTAAAACTCACTTAACAAATGTCTCACTTAACAACAGAATTTTTGGGCTCAATTGTGGTCTAAATCGAGGACTACCTGTATTATCTTTTCTCTGGTCAAAAAAGTCAAGTAGCCATCTGAGGAAATTCCATCATTTTTACCTACCATTACTCCATTGTGGGGGTAATGCTGAATCTTTCCATCTTGATGCGTACAATAATCTTACTGCAGTTACCGTGTATGAAAACAAAGTTCCATAACTTTTTCCAGTTGTTGTCCAGTTCCAAAAAACCCCTCTTTTGTTTCAATTGTATATTAATATTTAAGATTCTGTGAATCGTGTATGTATTTGGATCCAAAATTTTATAGCCTTTTTCATGTGCACCAAACATGATAAAACGTCCCTTTGTGTTCATATTTCCAATATAAATTTGAATTGCTTTTATAAATGCTATATACAATTTCTCTGGTGGCAAACACCAATGATATATCATAAAAATTCTTTCAAGGTTATAACAATGTAAATTTCAATCTTTTCAGCCACACATTTTTGTATTGTTTCATCTGTATATTATAATAGAATATTTAGCTATTTTATCATACAGTCTTTTTACTTATTCTTCTGTTTCATGTTCAATAAATGTTTATACATTTCAGCAACTATATGTTCATCATTTGTACACAATTCTGTTTCAAACTCAGTCATAGAATGTTCAAAAATAGTTTTGTGTACTTTAAATATTTCTAATAATTGTAAATAAGCAAACCATTAAGATTAGTATTCTTCTGCCATCAGTTCTTCTCCTGATTTTATTTTACATTCACCTTGGCAGAAATTAGCATTTTGTGTTTGTTTAATATTCCTTGTCTATATCATGCTTCTTGTGCTGAGAGTCAGAGAGGTATTTCTGAGCACAATCTAAGTTTGTATCTATTCCATATTCAAAACATGGCATGCCTAACAATGGTTTTTTTTAAATCCATGTTGACCTTTCTCATATCACAAATATCCATTTCACCCAATCTCAGGTCATGTCCTTCTAATTTCAAAAGCCTTCTTTTTCTCACTCTTTCATCCTATCCAAGCAAGCTTCAAGCTGCCAAATATAGTTACAGATCAGGTAAACCCAGTCCTCCTCTTTCCTCTGCATCTTGTAGCACCATATATTTAACATGTTTTTCCCCTGCCAAATTTAGATATATCCTTCTGCCACTCTTTAAATGGTGTATCAGTTGTCAGAACAGGTATTATCTGAAACAAAAACATCATTCTAGGTTCTAGTTTGATCTTCTATTTTCATATTTCTGTTAACATCTTCATCTTCTGTTTATTCTTAAAACCTGCTAAGGCATCAAATTCCTTTAATTTGCCTATTAAATAAATAAATAAATAATACATAATAATATTTCAATTTCCTTTAAAAGATCTTTCAGAACCAACACCAAGTCACCTGCAAAAGCATTAACTTATACGTTTTTAAAATATTTACTTGCAGAATCTTCTCATTTTGCCTTATGTCTCCTCAGTATTTCCAGAATTAAAATAAACAAGAGACGGAACAGTGGGCATCTCTGTCTTATTCCTTTTTGTATATCATAGGGTTTTATTAAATCTTCATTAAGAATTATTGTGCTTTCTGGGAAGTGTATGTAGTTCTTACCTATTTTATCAAATGCTCTCCCAAGTTTCATTGATGAAAATTTACTGGGAGTAAATGCTATTAAACCGCTATATTCTGAGTAGGTGTGTATGGAATTGTGTTGTTATTACACTGCCTATATATCATCCAGTTGAACAGTACAGCTAGCGATAGATGAAATTAACAAGATTTGTTCTCTTTGACCATATTTGTTAAGCTTATAACTTAATTTCCCACCAGCATGCTTAAAGCAGTTAAGAAGAATATCATTGCATGAAACTATTACAATATAGAATTATTTTTGAGGCAAAATTGAATTGCACTTTTTCTATCTGTTTTGACTTTTAAATTAAATACCCATGGCTTAGGACCTGGGTACCTACGAGACCGTCTTTTGCCACCAATAGCCTCCCACCGACCAGTTCGTTCTCACAGGGAGGGATTACTCAGGGTACCGTCAGTCAAATTATGTCGACTGGCGACTCCCAGGGGGAGGGCCTTCTCTGTGGGGGCTCCAACCCTTTGGAATGAACTGCCCCCGGAGATACGGAATATCCCTGATCTCCGTGCTTTCCGCCGTGCCCTCAAGACCCTGATGTTCCAACAGGCGGGGCTAAACATACGAACATGTGAATGATTTTTTAAATGTTATCTAATTCTGGGTTTTATTTAATTGACCAAACTAAGTAATAATTTTAATTAGCAATTTTATGATGTTTGTGTGTCTATATTTTTCTTGACTGTACACCGCCTTGAGTCCTACAGGAGAAAGGCGGTATAGAAATATAATCAAATAAATAAATAAATAAATAAATAAATAAATAAATAAATAAATAAATAAATAAATAAATAAATAAATAATAAATAGTACTGTATGAATCCTTAATTCTGCTGTTGGCAGTTTTATTCAAAGGCAGAAATATTTGGTGGCAAATGGGACATAATTTCATAAAACTATTTTATAGATAAAGATAAAATATAGATAAAATAGGAAATTCCTTCTTGTTGCCAAAGAAAATAAAAAAATGAGATTTACCTGAAGGACTCTTATATTTTATAATATGTACAGTACTATACCACAATTAATTATGATGGTTTGGTATTTTGTAGCCCATCTATTTCTGGAAGTCCCCATTGCATATGCTTGGGGATCTCTCTCTTTCTCTCCAAAGTCCTCATCACTACAAGTTGAGCTCAGTTTGAAGATGTTTTTATCTTTTAAATAGAATTGCATATGACCAAGCAATTGATGTACTTATTTCTAATGTCTTCCTATCAGAATTTTGAAAATGGGTCAGTTGTAAGTGTCTGGATTTGTGCTTTTAGAATGCTCCTAAAACAGTTTAATTTACCCAATTTCTTTTTTTAAAAAAATAGGCTCGGAATGTTAACACAAGTGAACTGGCTGCAATTAAAGTAATAAAATTAGAACCAGGTAAGCAGTTTTTAATCTCAAGATTTCAATTTCTTGTATTTTTTTAATCACCATCTTATGTTTTCTTTCTTTTTAAATAATACAATAATCTAGTAGAATATAGGTAATTTTAGCTGTACATTTTCCTAAATAATCAAAAATTGCCTTACTATCAGACTGCTTAAGTAATATGTAACTAGCCTTCATATCATGAAAGGGTAACACTTAGGAAAGCAAAATAAGGTAGATGCATAAATGGGCCTCCTTAAAAAGAATTAAAGTTGTTAATTCCACCTGAATTTGCATATTGAAAAAAGTTACTATTGAAATGTTAATTTTAGTATGTGTGTGTGTGTATTCCTATTACTACAGTTTTTCTTTGCATGTGTTATTGACAATATTTAATCTGGGATTCAAACATATTTTACTTTTATTTTTAATATGTTTTGTCAGATACTTTGAGTGCTGTTGGTAGCAAAGCAGGTTTACATCTAAATAAAAATGGAAACACTTTGAAGAATTTACTTTTCTATTTATCTAGATACACGCCCTAGGAAGAATGTTTGAAAGTATTTACCTTTTAAAAGGCAGCTGGGGAAAGGTGAAATGAAAAATGATGTGGAATTTATGTGACGTAGAGAAAGTGAACAGGAATGCTTTACTATTTATTAGAATAACTAATAAGTATTAAGGTAATCAGTGGTTAGTAGCCATGGTGGTTAAACTACAGCGTATTTCTGCAATCATAACTAGAAAGATGTTGCAATGTTGCACTAAGGACATTGCATAGGCATCCAATTAACTAGTAGAAGAGAAAAAATGGTGCTAGCTACTTGGTTGCTTTAATCATCCAAAAGTTTAGAATGTTTTGTTTTGGGTTTTTTTAAAATTAAAACTAAAAAAAGAAATGGTAATAAGATAATTTAACAATCTGCTGTCAAACCAGGCAATTGCAGAGTCACATCCAAGAGCATTTGCTCTTTGTACTATGTGCAAGGCTTGAAATAAAGTTGCACTACAATGTAACTGTATTAATTTCAGAAGATGGCCTAAGCAAAGATAGATGTAGATAATGCTTTCACTGTATTTCAAGGTCCTTTATAAATTAACAGAATATCTAGAGTCCAATATAGAACAGAGAGAAAACTGCCTACTTTAGTGTTCTCACTACCAAGGTAAACATACCTGGAAGCTGTAGACTTTTGAGCTAAATTAGAAAGTGTATATTATTGATTGCATAATTTATGCACATCTCTTCAACTTTTGTTACACTGTTATACTGTATATACTACTCTGCAGACTAGGTATTATTAGATGTTATTGAGATCATTGGTTTTTATTTACAACTACTATTGTTGCTTGTTGATTTACAGAAAAAGTTGTAATGCAGTCAGAAATGTTGGTTACAAATGACAAAAATGAGTATTTAAAGAATTTTCAGTAATTGCATTTGTAATATTTATCACAGCTACTGGTTCATAGCTTCTGTTCCTATTGTTTCACTCCCAGTGTAAATACGTACTTCGTGCCCCCAGTTCTGTATCCTTAAATGTATGATGAACAATGTCGTCACAATCTCTTTTGGATAGCTTTGATGTCACTTTCCCAATCCATAGCAAAATAGGCATATATAGTAATTAATCCTTGATATCTAGGTATATCTGGTTTTCCTGTATAACATTGCAAAAAATAAAATATATATGTTCTTTGTGTTGCCGGAAGTTGATTCAATGGTTTCCAATGGTATTCTCTTATCAGTAACACCTAGAGTTCTGAAGGACCATATTCTATGTTTTAAATTTGGTGGTGGGAGAATTTAGCACAGATCAGCCATTTCCAACAGTGGCAACATAACTAATAAATTTAAATCACCAAATCCTATTTGTAACTCTATATTTAAATGCCTAATATTGTTATATTTAGCAAAATAATATGAACAGTTAATCTATGTTTTCCTGATGAGAGATGAGCCTGTTTTCTTAGCGAAATATTGATAACTTGGCATATCGGGTGATCATACTTTTTTACTGTTTTCTACTAATGTTAACTTTTTATTGTGTGATATCATGTACTTCAAAAATGGAGTGACATATGTAATTAAACATAATGGGGAAATAATTGATTTATTAATTTTAAGGAATTGAAGTGCTTTTTATGTAATTGGTAATGAGGCATTCTTTCTATAAGCATAAGCTAAACATGCCTTTTTTCATAGGTGAAGATTTTGCTGTTGTGCAGCAGGAAATCATTATGATGAAAGATTGTAAACATCCAAACATTGTTGCTTATTTTGGCAGCTATCTCAGGTATAATATTTATGATGTACATAAATTAAGAATGTAAAAATTGTTCACTGTTTGCAAAAATAAGACCTAGTATGACCCTGGATTTCTAATTATCTGTGGTATTCTAAACTCCCTAGGAGGTACATATTGTCTACTGCCTAATTTCAGTTAATACATCACTTCAGATTTCTTGCTTGTCCTGGGTCTGTATGAGACATTTTAATGTTTGTTCCAGAAAATAGCTGAGTAAGCTCTTATTCCCAACTTTGCAAACACAGTCTTTTCCTTTTCCAATTACCTCATACTATTTTTGTTCACAGATTAAATTGTTTATTGTATTGTAGTCCTTGACTTAGGATAGCAATTGGGACTGGAATTTACACTTGTAAAGAGTGACCATATTGCTTAGCGACAGCAATTTCTGCAGTCATGGTTGCCATTGTTCTGAATCCCGTAACCATTAAATGCGGTAATTTCCAGTTTTCCACAGCCAAAGTTTGTGGAGACGCTAGCGGAAAGTTGCATGTTCCAAGCCTGCATGCAGGTTAGTAGCTGCTACTGGGGAGTGAATAAGAAGGTGCATGAGAGGTGTCATGTGGGGTTGGGATGGGAACACGGGGGTGCTGCACAGATTAAGAAGGGTGCATGGGGGTATGGGAGGGACAGCATGAGCGGAGAGGGGCTGGGGGAGGGTATGCATGTAAGGAAGACTTACCCCAGCCACTTGTGATCTTTCCTGCTGGCTTCTCCATTGACTTTCTAGTGGTTACAACTGGTCATCATGGGGCCTTTGGCAACTGGTCGTATGTGTGAATGGGTTGCCAGCACCCATACTATGAGCACATGACTGCAGGATCCTAGGGCAGCCAGAACTTTGAGGACTAATCATAACAACCATTTGTTCAGCAGCATCCTAACTTGGAATGTCGCTGATCAAATGGTGGTAGGTCAAGAATTGGCTGTAATCAGTTATTACTGAAATTCCTCAATTAAATCATCTTATTGTCCTCCTCCATATTCACGTTGTATTCCTGTAAAAACCTGTAGTATTTTCATTTGATTGTAAGCGGCCCAGAGTTGCTGTATCAGTGAAATGGGCAGCATAGAAATTTAATAAATAAATTAAAATAAAATATAGTCGGTGTTTGCTGTTTTGGTTTTTTTTTTGTTGTTGTTGTTGTTTTTTTTTTTTTCCTGATAAGGCCCTTTGGCCTGGGAAGCAGAAAGATACCAGATAGATCTCGTACTACATTTGTGGAAAAACATTTTCTGTTGAATGCCCTCTGCTATTAGACATACAAGAATATTGTGTGTGTATGTATGAAAATGGAAGATGTCTTGCTTAATATAAAATGTAGGTTTTATCACATAAAATGGTGAGTTTCTTATTACTAAATAATTAATGGTGTCACAACTCTTTAGTGCAACAGCTTCCCAGTTACATACTACAACTGCATATATGTTTTCTTTAAATTGAACAAATGAAATATTATTGGCAGTAGATAGACTGCCATTTTTTCTTCCTAGTCAGAGGGAAGAAAGCGGTGAGTATGATGGTGTCTGAGACCAAATCTAGTTTGGGTTTATTTCAGATTGTGGCATGAGTTCCAATCAGTTACAATTATTAAATTTCTAATTTAAAATCTTCAGTTGAAAAAAACATTTTATCTATGTTGTCTCACAATCAACCTCAAGAAATGTAGGTTTGAAAATATGTTTATATACTGCTAATATTTTAATTCCATACTTAACGTTACCCACTCTCAATATAAACTTCTTAATTATGAGGTAGAAAAGACATCTTTTCTGTATATGATCTGGAAGCATTTTCCTAAAATAGAAGAATTATTTGGTATTTATTTTATCATTTCGAATGAAAAAAGACTAGAATAGTTAGCCCAAAACTTTTTGAAAGATTATTAACATTTTTGAGGAATGATTTGCATCTTTTCAAAAATATTTAAAAAATTACTATGAGAGCAACTTTTGTATTTTGTAAAAAATATTGTATCATATAATTTTCCATTTAATTTATATTATTTTAAAATATAAATACTGATGTCAAAACTCTGACAAATATTCAAGGCTTAGTTTTCCTCAAAATGTATTGCAAAATCATGAGATTTAATAGTTAAGATTGCATGAAGTATTTATAAGTATGCAAACTAATCTGATCTTGATTTTTAGACGTGATAAATTGTGGATTTGCATGGAGTTCTGTGGAGGTGGTTCATTACAGGACATTTACCATGGTAAGTTGGCAAATGTTATAGGGTTATTTTGGAAATATGTATTTCAAATATAATGGTTCTTTCATTAATTTGATATTGAATGCATACATAAAATAAATACATTAACTCTTGTCCATGGGTACCACAAAATAATAAACTAAACAGTGAAATAATGTGAAACTTCATTAGTTTTAATTGCTGGAGATACAAGTCCTTCTTTCATAATTATTCTTTTGAAAACTATATTATTTTGTTATTCTCTTGTTAATTGAGAATTTAGAAACTAATTGTGTAAAATAGGCTAGCTAGTAAGAGAGGCAAATATGGGGTCTTTTCAGGTAGCAATTAGCTGTTTTGTGTCCCACCCTCTTTTTTTCCTCTTTAATCAGAACCACAGTGTGTATCATCTCAGATCCCCTTTCTGTAATCTTTCAGCAATCTTGGAAGTGAATAGATAACTGGAAGAGGGCAAATAGTGATCCATTCTTCAAACAGGAGAGATCTGGATAGTTACAAACTAATCAGCTTGATGTTAATCAAAAATTTGGACCAGATTATTAAGTTTGTGAGGATTTAGAGAAGAATGCATTGTTTATCAGAAGCCAACCTGGAACAAAGTTAAATCATGCCAAACCAAACCAGTTGTTTTGTTGTTATTATTTTGATAAAGTAACCAATTTAGTTGACCAAGAGATTGGCATAGTTTGGCTTCAGCAGAGTGTTCAATAAAGTCTGCTCTGAGGTCTAGTAGAGAAGATATCAACAAGGGGGCTAGCATTGACTCTAGCATTAATTGAATAATCATACTTATTGAAGGTATTAAACTGGGAGGAAGAGTTGAGTGTGTAACACAGATCTATTCTAGACCCCATATTGTTCAACATATTTATAAAACACTTGGATGCAGGGTTAGAAACTCTTAGTTAAGATTATGAAGAACTTAAAAACCTTAGACAAAAAGCAGCAAGATAAATTTCAACAAGGACAAATGCAAAATTATATATGGATAGAAAAAAATCAAAGGCATGAATATAGGATGAGAAACCATAATAGGGAGCAGTACATGAAAGAGAGTCATAGTGGATCATAATTTGAACATGAGCCAACTGTGTGATGCAACTGCCAAAGCAGCATATGCAAGCCTTAGATTGCAAAAATAGATATACAGTGTCAATATTAAGGCAAGGCATAGTTTCTCCCTATTGTGTTGGTCAGACCATATCCTGAATATTGTATCCAATTCTGGCTTCTCTCAGAAAGAGCCCTAAAAACAAGCAAACAAGCATTAAAGAATGCCTGCAAAGTCGTTTATTGTAGAAAAGCTTACCATTGCAAAGGTATACATATGCTTGAGTGGTGCCCCATCTCAGTCGGCTTCCTAGTTTGTTAGTTTATTTCGTTGAAATAACAATGATCAAGAAATCATAAAATGTTGGGGATTAGGGAGAGTATTGAGAGGGAAAAGAAAAGGAAATAGAATAGAAGCCCTGTGTGGAGGGAATGGCCAGTTAGAACTATACCAGAATATTCTGCAGGTTCCATTTGTAAAAATACAAATCATAAAATTAAAAGCCCTAAATATTTATCTTATTTATTTACCAAATTTATGTGCCACCCACCTCACCAAAGCTACTGTAGGCAGCTTACAAACATTCAATTAAAATGCACTATAGATCATTAAAACAATAAACAGGGATCTTAAATTTAAAATTCAGTTAAAAGAAAATTGACCAGGATGGAGTGGGAAGGAGCAAAGTGTGTACAAGGAGGAGATGGGATGTTAGCACCTTGAATGGGCCTGGAAGCTAACTGGTAGCCATTGTAGCTCACAGAACAACATTGTAACATGAGCCCACTTTGGGGTCCCAAGAACTGCCCCGCTCAGCTGCCTTCTGCACCAGCTGAAGCTTCCAGATACTCTTCAAGGATAGCCCCATATAGAGTACATTGCAGTAGTCCAGGCGTAGAACATAGAAAATAGATGGCAGTTCAAACATTGCACATGATTTATCTTACAAATATCATTTTTTAACGTTAAACTACCTCTGCTAATCAGACATTGTAGCAGGCTTGGGTTAATTTATAATAGCACAATAGAAGCAGTTTTAATCCTTGTGGCGTCAATATGAGTTCCAGATTAATTTTTTTATTCTATATTTTTCTTGGGTTTCTGGCAAAACTCGAATATAAAAGTTTTCTGTGATGTTTATTTCAAGTTCAGAATATGAACAGTGGATATATGTACATGAAAGCAAGCAACAGATTTGAGTTTTTCAAAGTTAGCAATGAAAATATAGTAGATGTTACTTAATTTGGATGGATTCTCTTTTAGTGACTGGACCACTTTCAGAACAACAGATTGCTTATGTAAGCAGAGAGACACTGCAGGTAAACAAATTTTACACTGTTGGCTTTTAGGATAGAAAAAAGATACCAGACATTTCTGTTGAATAATGGGAGGTGGGGGAATATAGAACTGCACAATTGTAAGATATGCATTTCCCTAAAATAATGCTTCTTAGCTGAGCTTTAACCACCAAAACAAAATGCAGCCTCTGCACTTGCCCTTAGGTATGTGTTTGTGTATCTGTGTGCATTGGTTTACAGAGCTGCAGAGAGCTAAGCCTGTCTTGTGCAGAGAATTTGCCTTTGAAATTTAGGTACAAAGTGAGCGGCTATGATGATTACAAAGATTTTTGTTTGACTTCTCACTCATATGGCAGGTTTCATAAGAAAGAAGAAATGCTTGGCACCCGGATCCTGAACAGAAGAAGTATAGTTCTTCTATCAGAAGAAGGGACCAGTAATTGATTACAGTAGTGCTTCTTTTTGACACCACTATATTTCAGATGACAGGCTTCAATGAAGCTGTGTGCTTATTGCTTATGCTTGCCTTTTAGTAATAAAAAAATATATTAACCATTTGTGAAGGATTACATTTTTTAGTTGAAAGTCAGCTGTTTTGTAACAGTTCTCTATCTCTTTCCTTCTGTCATTTCTTCAAGCATGGATTGGTCATGCAGTGATATTTATTTCAAACATAAGAGAACTACACCTATGTAATTTTTAAAAATCTAGTTTGATTTTTTTACTATGTAGAACATACACTCACAGAAAACCTGTCTTCCTCTAAGAACTTTATTCCTTTTCTTTTAATTACAGGGATTGTATTACCTGCACAATAAAGGAAAAATGCATAGAGATATAAAGGTAGGATTATTGTTGAAATCATTTTTAAAGTGCATAAAATTCCCAGTTCTGAGCTGTATAAAATAAAGTAAGACTGTGACCATGAGATTATTATTGCAATAATATAAAATGACTTATCTGAAGGAATATTTTTACAAACAAGAAAGATTGTGTAATAATTATAATAGAGCTTTGATTCCTTTGAACCAACTAAGTTAAAGTTATTTCACATTGTTAATTAAACCAACAGCATTTGTATGTTGCAAAAAACACAAAGTTTCGTTCTCTAACATCCATATTCAAGAAGATATGCATGGAACAAGTTACGCAAAATGTAGGTTTTCCCCCTTCCCAAGTTTTGATCAGTTTTCTGTTTTAATTGGTCCAGTTTGGAAAATATTTTTCCTTTTTTCTGTGTTTGGGATATTAGGCAAACAAGCACATCCAGATTACTTTTTCTGTCGTACCTTTTGCCAATTTTACACTTTTTATTCTGAAATTGAAATTTCACTATCCTATTTTGATCTCTGTTCTGTCCCTCCTGGCAGAGTTTTTGTTAAGTTTTTGTTAACCTTAGTTTTTCGCAGTTTACTTTTGAATAAGGCAATCTAATAAATTTCATGCAGAAACTACTTACTCTTCCCATGAATTGTTTCCACAGGTAATATTTAGATTTCAATTGAATTTGCCTTTAATACAGTTCAATGTTCTTGACTTGAATGAGTTTTCTATTACATTCAGGGGTGGGATTCAGCTGGTTCGGACCGGTTCAAATGAACCGGATGTTAATTTTAATCTGATTCGCCGAACCAGTAGTTGCAAGAACTGGCTGACCCCGTCCCTCCCAGGAGTTTCCACGGAGCCCATTTTGGGTGCCAGGTAAATGCAGGGCCTGTGCGGAGGCACTGGTAGGGTGAAAAACGGGCCTAACAGAAGTCCGGAAACGGGCCCATTTCCGGCTTCTGGAGCCCAAAGGAGACCGTTTTCACCCTCCCAGAGGCTCGAGGAAAGTCTCCGGAGCCTGGGGAGGGCAAACTTCCCCTCCCAATATGGTGCTGGAAGCCACGCCCCCATGGCCGCGGCCACCCAGCAACCGTGCAGAGAACCAGTTGCTAAAATTTTTCAATCCCATCCCTGATTACACTGTTTTGCTTTTGACTTTGTTATTACATAAGCTTACATATCTAGTGTTGTTTCATATGCCTGAAGGGACTTTTTAATCTTTAAATACAGCACATCTCAGTTGAGTTACATGATAATGAGGTTGTGAGTCAGCATCATCAGGGCTTCCTGGTTTAGGTAGATCTGCAATTAGTACACCAGCTGAAACTGGACAAAGGCTTAAAGGTCATCAACAATGACCAATGCTGTTTCCATCGCATATTCAGGTCTGAAATCTGACTGAAAGGGATTTAGATAATCTACTTCACCTAGGATCCTCTGCAAATGATTCCTCGGAATCTTTCCTCAAAATGGAAGATAGGAGCCTTTGTAAAGCATGTTTTAATATGGCTGGATTGAGAGTGGGGCTGTTCAAGAAAAGTTGCACCCCCAACTCAAGGTTTTTGTTACGTTCATCCTCCCTCAAAGCAGCATTTATCACCTCTCGAAGCATGGATCTATTCCTCAGATAGTGGAACTTGTATTATTGAGGGGACTATCCATTTCCTTGGATTCTGCAATATCAAAATAATGCCCTTGTGTAACTCTCCCAAATGTCATTCAATCTCAAGTGAAGATGAGTTATTTTATCTGCAGAAAACTTGTAGTATACTGCAAGTATATCAATCTATCCGTTCTTCCCTAACAAGATCTGGACAGCCTGGACTGAGACATGGGGTGAGAATTCACAGACGTAATAAAAGGCATAAAAGTACACATATTTTGTCACTCTTACTGCCACTGTCTAGGTGTTCTGTCCCCGTCTCCACACACACACACACACACAGCCAGCCGAGGGTTAAAGGAAGCACTTGGCACGCACAGTTTTTTATCAAAAACTTGGCAGCAATACGAGCACCGATTGCCAAGTGCTTTTTACTTAATATCCCTTCACCAGATAAACAGAAATACACACATTTTATAAATAGTCCAGTTCCAAACAAGAAACCTTTCGGCAGCTTTAAGCGTTGTTCAAGTGACTAGCCAGAGTTAGTTTTTGTCCGTCACAGAGTCTTAAATGGCCACCACACTCTCTTATATAGTCTCTCGGGTGTGTTCCAGTGACTCAGTTATAATCCCTGGCACGCCTCCTTAACTGCTGCAACCGTTTATCACGCCTTCGTTGGCGTGGATCCAGGAACGACAGATCACCTCCCTCGCTCTCATCGGAGACACCTGGCTAATCTCCTCTTCCTCGGCCGGCACTTGAGTCAGTGCCAGAGGGGAGGGGCCTGGAGAGGGAGGCCTGGCCGACTCCTCTTCTTCATGTTCGGAGCCTTCTTCCTCCGATGAGATAGGCTCGGAGGGCAGGGCCACAACACTAGGTCTGAACATAGCTTCACACCTATTTTATGAGTGTACTATTTTGTTCCAGTTTTATCTTCTAAAGTAGAAGATATCTCTGTTAATAAAAAAAATATTTATTTTACTGTTTTTCAAATTACTGTTTTTCAAATTTTTCAAATTTGAAATTTTTCAAATTTTTCAATATTTGTTCTTGTTTGTCTGCTATATTGATAGGCAGTTTAGTTGATACAGCATTATCTTGAGATGTCTTGCCTATTGTCTACATAAGTTTAGCATTGTAATGAAAATCATTTCTAACATTGATATTTTGAAGATTTACACAGTTTATAACATGTAGCATAAGTTTGTACTGATACTAATATAAATATTTTTTAAAAATCTAAAAAGATGTCTTTTACCATTTTTCCCTAAGGGAGCGAATATTCTTTTAACTGATAATGGCCATGTAAAGTTGGGTAAGTACTTCTATGTATGTTCAGTTTTATGCAAGCTAACATTTAATATACCTTAAGACTCCTGTCAAGATTGTTTGTGAGAATTTCAAGTGGCAGTTTTGAGTCCCAGTTGTGTTTTTCAGATTGGATTTCTTTCTTCAGTTATGCAATTACCTAAAAATGACAATAAATTACCTAATATAGTTATTGTAAATAAGATCTAATGAAAGAGGGACTTCTGTTATTACAATATGAGCTAATGTGAGACTGGGGTAACCAATCTTTAATAAATACTTGCACCTTGTGGAAGATAATGATACTGAAACAGAAACATGAAAAGAGCATTACAAAAGTTTTCAAGAATTGTTTTAATAAAAATCTTAACTATACAAAGACTTTCAGTTTTTAAATATTCTGTTTGTTATAAATATGTGTACTTATTAGCTTCCATATTCTTTTATAGCCGATTTTGGAGTAGCAGCACAAATAACAGCTACAATTGCAAAAAGGAAATCTTTCATTGGAACTCCATACTGGTAATTTACTTCTATTCCAAGGATCCCCTGCCATTTTTTAACTACCCTGTTTCCCCTAAAATAAGACATCCCCTGATAATAAGCCCAATCAGGCTTTTAAGCGCATGGCAGTAAGGCAGGGTCTTATTTTCGGGGAAACACAGTAATGAACATTTAGTATTTTGAGAGCCTATTAAAGAAAATGAGTAAGCGAGGCTTATAATTAGTAAAATGATTGCCAATTACAAATGCTACATTATTAAAAATTGAACAGTTGCAAAACACCAATTTGCTAGAAACAAACTTGGAGGGTTACTCCTCTTCAGTATCTCTACCGGCCCAGGATATTCATTATCTATCATCATTTTTTTGGTGGAGGGCAGGTTTGCCAATATATAAAGCCAGTTACTACATTTTTATTTTACATTTCATTTTCATTCTATATTTTTTTTTATTTTATTTTTTAGGAATGCCTATGTTATATATAGAGAGAGATGAAGGAGGGCCCTGGAACATTATTGGAAAGAAATATAATTCTTGAGACTTAGTGCATTGCTTTGCAACTGACCAGCTTCTTTTTAAATTTTGTTTACAATTACAATAATATTTAAAACATTTTACAAGTCAAAGTACTAGAAGCATTCTGGATACAAATAGAGGTTTCCATAGATATCCTGGAATCTAATTCTAAAATTCAAGTCCATTTTCCATTTGTGTGATAGAGGTTCAGAACGTCTTTTGCCTATGTTGTTAACTGACTTGTGTGTAATAATATCCTTGCATGGATGCCTACAGTTATATGGAAGCCTACAGTATATTAGGGGAAACTTGTTGCTCAAAAGCAAAATAGATTTGTACCATTAACAGTAATTGTAAAGTGTTGTCATAACATCAATATCAAGTATTAGTCTGGTCTATTCTCATACCTTTAACAAAAATGATACAACAAAGGAAAAGCTTTTTTCTAAGATGGAGAGGAATATTGGCAGCAAGATTTGGGATTCATGGAGATAGAAGAGCGGTTGAAATATATCTTAGCCTCTTTCTCAGTCATTATTCTTTTAACTACCACACAAGTAGATTGAAAAAAGTTTGGATGGAATGATGTCTTGAAATCTAGGAATAAGAATGCATTTTGCAAGCTATTTTTCTGTTTTTTAGGATGGCCCCTGAGGTTGCTGCGGTTGAAAGGAAAGGTGGATATAATCAACTTTGTGACCTTTGGGCAGTTGGGATTACTGCTATTGAACTAGCAGAACTTCAGCCTCCAATGTTTGATTTGCATCCCATGAGGTGAGTAAGTAATAGTAAGCTCTAATAACTCTGTGGCTAGAGGGTGTGTTCTAGAGGTTGAAAATAGTGCTACTGTTGACTGTATTTATTCCTCATACAACCAAATTTTGCTCAAGATCGTACAAATAAAGAGTGCTAGAAAGAAACACCAAATGAATGGCAGGTTTCAGAAAAGACAGAAGATGAATTCAAATACCTAATATATAACAGCTAAGAAAAAGAGACAATTTAAAAAGATAGTTTATCTTTAACTGTATTGGTTGTAATAAAGTATTTGAATAGATAATACCAGAATGTGGAATATATTAAGGACAACCTCCAGCTTTTTAACCTAAGTGCCAAAATTTAAAATGAAATCCACAAATTTTAGTTGTGCAATTTCTGGCTATTTTTATTATATTAAAAATTAGAAATGATTATGTATGTATCTTTCCTGCATCAAAATTAATGGTATGATATTAGGTATTTGGGAGTACAATAAAGCTGGAAATGCATAGACTAACTTTCATAGAGACAAGACACTTGAATTCCTGGCTTTAAAACACTACAATTTAGAGATTGCTTTACATTGGGCTGAAATGTTTGGCCTTGGTCATCTGGTACATATTATGATACCATTGAATATTTCTGAGGTCCCCAGACAGAAGGAAAAATGAAGACTGAAAAAGTAGCTTACATATTTAGAGTCCATAAAAGCCTAGACTAGACATGATAGTGGATTAGATCAGGGGGCCATGCCCATTTGAAAGCGGGCCATGCCAGCGGCAGGTGAGCATGCATGCATGGGTCACTCCACTTACAAGAAGCAGCGGGTGCTGGCGCTCATCATTCCACTCCTGCGAGCAACAGGTGCCATTCACACAAAACCATCCCCTCTTCCCCCCCCCCCCCCCACACCAAGTCCCCTACCCAGAAAGGTTATGGAACGCTAGATTAGGTAATAACTACTAGACTATGAGTGGCAGTAGTTTTATCAGAGCAGCTGGGTAAACGTGTAAATATATTTTTATATTGGGAAACCCTGCACATGGTCTCTCAGGCCTTAGTCACCCTGATTCACTTTCTACAGTGCACTCTATATAAGGTAGTCCTTTAAAGAACATCCAAAAGCTGCAGCTAGTCCAGATTACAGTGGCATTAGTAGCAAGTGGTACACGTCAAGATGCCTATGTAACACTCAGCGAACTGCATTGGCTCCAAAAGTTCTGGGCTTAATTCAAATGCTGATAATCATTTATAATAATCTGGTACCAGACCAGATTATTTGTGGGACCATTTATGTCCTATTAATTTCTGCTTATCCCACAAGACTGTCCAGGTGAGTTTATTCCAAGTCCTTCCTTTGAAGCATCATCTAATAAGAACTAGGATATGAGCTTATTCTGTTGCTGCTCTTTGGAATGAACTCCCTGCTAAGATTTGAATGACCCTGCTAGCTTTTTGTAGATTTGTAAAGGCCAGAGTTTTCTCTTATTTGTTGGACCAAGATGGTAGATAAATCTCTTCCGTTGTGAGAGTGAAAGTTTGCTGTACCTACCCTCAGCTATATGTTGACCTTGACTCTTAATGTTCAGTGTTACATGGGATTTTTAAAATTTATTTACTTATTTATAATTTGATTTTTTAAATTTTTAATGATATGCTCCATCCAGAGTTGCAAATTGTGATTGGGGCAATCTTACAACTTCATGAAATGAAAAGAAATAATACTGCATGCAAACACAGTCATAAAGTTTCAAGGAAGCCTAACTATCCTAATTTATCAAAGCTTTTTCAGATTTCTTTCTTAAAAGAAAGACTGACTGACTGCTGGCTTAGTTTTCGCTTGAAATAATTTTTTCTTCTCTTTTCCATCTTCTGAAGATACAGTGGTCCATTGAGAATTATCTTTTTCTTGCTAAAGCGCAAACACGATGTTGCTTCTCTGCATGCAAGTCAACTGACAGGAATTTTGTAGAAGTAACCACTTTTCTTCTTTTTCAGAGCACTGTTTTTAATGTCAAAAAGCAACTTTCAGCCTCCCAAACTAAAGGACAAAATGAAATGGTAAATATTGCAGCAATATAGTTGCATTGTATTAGTTACTGTGAACATTAACTATCTTTCTGAAAACTATAATTTTGTTTTACAGGTCAAATAGCTTTCATCATTTTATCAAAATGGCACTTACAAAGAATCCTAAAAAAAGGCCTACAGCTGAAAAACTATTACAGGTATAAATCACTTTTCTATCCTTTCCAAACTGTTTTAAAATTATGTATATCCACTTTTGTCATGTGAAAAAAATTTTCAATAGGAAGTGCTGGAAAAAATCATCTAATTTAGACACGTTAGTTGGGGGTGTTTATTTTCCTTGTTAGTTGGATGGATTTTCCTTGTTAGGTTTTAGGTCAGTGCAGATACTGCTAGGCAGTGCAATAGTGATATACCAGCAGAATCCCTTTGTCCAAAATCAGCTCTCTATGATACGTGCCTGGTCCTCAATGATATAGTTGTTGTTAACCAGCATGTTGGGCATTGAAAAACAAGATCTGTAGGCTAGGGAGCCATATGTGCTATCACAGTGATGGTTAACCTTTTTGGTGCCGAATGCCCAAAGCATGCGCACACACGCACAAATACACGCATGAGTGCCCAAGCCCCCAAATGCAATGCGAGTGCTCTTGCCCATGAATGCATGTGCATCGCCCACCCATGCACCACGCACCCCATTTTGGCTTCCAGGTTGGTGCAGGGGGCTTTCCAGACCCAAAATGGGGTGCAGGGAGCCTCACACGGCACCCCTGCTCCCTGTTTTGGCTTCCAGGTTGGTGCAGGCTTTCCAGACCCAAAACAGCGCCCCCCCCCCCCCCCCCCCCCCCCCTGCACTTCCGCCCAGGGGCCGCCCCCCCCCCCCCCCACACCCCCCCCCCCCCCCCCCCCGGTGCCCTGTTTTGGGCCTGGAAAGCCTCCTGCACCCCCGTGCATGCATCCCGCCCCCTGCGCATACTTGCTTGCAGCCTGCCCCCCACGCATGCGCGGCAGAGACCCAAAAACCAACTGTGCAGCAGGAGGCACGCGCATATGCGCGGTGGAGCTGGGCTGAGGTGACAGCTGGCGTCCCCGCAGAGAGGGCTCTGCGTGCCACCTGTGGCACATGTACCATAGGTTCGCCATCACAGTGCTATCATTTGAACTTGGTTTCACTACAACCATTCCTCAGCTTGGATAGTATTAAGCTGCCCATCCCTTTTCTTACATTGTTTGTAAAGTCTCCACTGCCAATAATAATTTTAATAGTTTTCCTGGGACTACCATATGATCAGGTACCTTAGTCTTATCTTCCCCCTAGTTTAAAAATATGGAAAAGTGGGGTAGCATTGCTGGCTTATCTTGCAAAGTATGGAAAGTTTTGAAATATCTCTGTTGGCTATTTACAATTCATCCATAATGTTTTGAGAAGTCTATTCATAATAAAGGTTAAGATTAATTTTGTTTAATGCTTTTAATGTTTTTATGATGTTGTAAGCCACCCAGAGTAACTCAACAATGAGAGGGGCAGCATATAAATTTAATAAATAAAATTACAACATTCAAATTACCATGCAAGTATCTTTCATATACTTATCTATTGCATTTTGTATTTTAAGCACCCTTTTATTACCCAGCCTTTAAGCCGGACACTTGCTATTGAACTATTGGATAAAATGAATAATCCTGATCATTCCACTTATCATGATTTTGATGATGATGATCCTGAGGTAAGAAGATAATTTAAATACAGCTTTGATAGTTAAACATTTGGCTATATAACCAATCTGATATAAGTACTTAAAACATACAGTAGCTAGTCTTCTTCGGTAAGTTTAAATTACCTAGAATTTAATTACCTTTAAATTCATTTAATTTGGAAAATTTATATTATATAATCGCTCACGGCAACTCAAGGCAGCTTACAGAAAATAAAAACACAATATAAAAGAAATATAAATAATAAATAATAAAAATAATAAAATAATAAAGAAGGTCATTTTAAAATTATGTGCATATTTCTGTTTGATGCTATGCATCTTTCTTTACTCGAGAATCTGTTCATAAATGCAGAATTAATAATGAAACTGAATTTCTGTTAGGAAAAAAGATTTTATTTGAAAGAATACTATGCTTCCTCAATCTGTTTTATAATGCTGAATTCAAGAATAAAATCTTCAAAAACAAACCTAATAATTAGGATAGTGTCTTTTGTCCTTATCACAAAGATCTAGTAGGCTATGTGGAAGTACACAGACATGCACAGAATACCAGAATTGTTCTAATCCAGCATAGCAACCACGGTGTTTATAGTCTTTTTCAGTATTTTAAAAGCTATTGCTTGATCTTGTATATGTATACATTGTGTTTTGTTTGACAAAGTATAGATAATGCTTAAATTATAATTCTTATCCATGTTTTTGGCAAGTGTTGACTTAAAATATCCTGGCTAAAATTCCCGATATATACATAGTGTAAATTTATGTTATTTTTAGCTTTTTAAAAATAATAATAATAACCTAGGACAAATTTTCACAGGATAACAACAAAAATTCAGTCTCTTAGATAGCTATAAATATATTGAGGTGAATTAATACTGCTTATTACAGAATGTAATGCAAGAGTGCATCAATGAAGCATGGCTCTTAGAATGGTTAAAATCACTGCCCCTTGTGCAAGATGTGTGCGGGGAGCAGTTTCCAAAGTAAATTGACTTTTATTAGGTACCTTCAATTTTCAAATCTGGGAAGTGTCAATTAAAGGAGATATTAATTATTACTTTTATTATCTTTGATTCTATAGCTTACTGTCCAAAATAACATTTACTTGTAATTTTTCACTAATTTAGAATGAACTTATTTAAAGGAACAATAACTAGAAAAGAATGAACAAATAGTTGTGAAGAGAGAGGAAGAGAACCTCCTTTACTGCCCACCTGCTTGTTTTCATTTTTTCATGCAGTTAATTTAATTAACTTGTCCAGGGAGTTCTGATGGTAGATTAGAAACAACAATGGAAGAGATGCTTTCCTAATAAAGGATAGTTCTTTTAAAATCCAAAGATAACATCTTCCCCTTTTACCCTTGAAAAGTCTTGCCTAAGGCCTTCCTTGAATTGGATAAAGGTACAAGAATTATGTCTTTGCCAAATACATCTCAGTAGATAATGTTTGTTATATAAGGTAGTAGAATTTTTAAACCAAGTGTGACTTTCCACTGGGAATTAACATAAATTTTGGAGCAGTTGTCTTAATCTAAAAATCAAAATTATTTCTTCCTTCCCAGGAAATGTCGTTGTTTGAAACTGATTTTAAATTTGAATTTCAGTGGATCACAAAAATATCTTGTACTGTGATTTTGAAAGTGGGGAATATTTTATTCATTTTTAATGAATATTTAATACAATATTTTCCCCAGCCTCTTGTACCTCATAGAATTCACTCAACAAGTAGAAATGTGAGAGAAGAAAAAACACGCTCTGAAATAAACTGTAAGTAAGAGTCACTCATTGTAAACTGACCTGAATAAACTACTCATATCTGCACACCTAATTCATATTGGATATTTGCCATTTCTTTTTTATTAGGCATCCTAGCCCAATTATTAGTTTATTAGTTTAATATTGAAATATACTAGCCTTGTGCTAGCCTTGTGAAGTAGTCCAGAAAAGAAGCACACCCAGAAATACAAGTTCTTACTTTATTCCAATACTACAGTAACAGAATCTTCCAAATCTGAAAGTATATCCCCACTCACCTTTATAGTCCAAGAAACCTTGTGAGAGGTTTGCCACACTTACATTCCTTCTGTAGACTCAGGTGCTGCTTGTTACCTAGTCTGCAGATCGTTTAGTGGTATTCAGTGGTGAAATGCACTTACCTTCGCTACCAGTTCAGGAATGTGAGCGCGCGTGTCAAAATGGGCAGGTGGGCAGAGCCTCCCACTGCCACCGCTACCGGTTCATACGAGCCAGATAGATCTGGCTGGATTTCACCGCTGGTGGTATTTCAAAGATCTATTTGAAGTACCTTTACAACACAATCAAATGTATGTTTATTATTCTGAAGTACGAACTGCTGAATTGTGTGATTTACTCCCTAAGCAAGTATATAAAACCTTACTTCCCTCTTATGAGTTATGGGCATGGGTTCCTTCCACCAATCACCTTCTTAGATAAAAAGGCAGTAGTCAGTTCCTATTGAATTTGTACAGTCAAGTGGTAGAGCTAACTAAGGAGATACTTTTATTTGTTTATATGCTGATGGGGAAGAAAAGATGTGAGTCTCATAGTTTTTTCAACCAGGCTTCATTAATGATCTTTATAGCTTTGAGTTGTTTTTGTTGTTATTTATAGCCAAGATAGCTTCTAATTTGCTTTTGTTCTTGTTTTTTTTTTCTTCAGTGTTTCTTAGTGCTCCCAAGAATAATAATGCAATAATTTGGAAAATCAATGGGAGAATATATAACCATTTCTTATCACTTATTCTTTTTAATAGTTGGTCAAGTAAAATTCGATCCTCCTTTAAGAAAGGAGACAGAGCCACATCATGAGTTCGTAAGTAATGCAACCATATTATATTTCTTCTCTAAAATATGTGAATGAAATCTGTAAAGATCTCTTTACAGAACTCTGTAAAGATCTCAGAACTACATACTTTGTTCACTATATGATATATTTGTATAAGATCTCAAAATTATTAAGGAATTATCTGAGGAATTTATGTATAGTCTGAGAATTTTAAAATTTAATCAGCAATGGCTATAAGTATTGCCACTTGGAAGGGCAATTTCCTCAGCTTTCCCATTCTTGTCTCCACTTCTTTCAATTGCTTTGGCATAGAATACAGTAAAAACAGGAGATACCATTATCATAATTATTGTGTCTTAAATTATTTAATAGCATCTACCAAGACTACTAGAACACAATATAAATATTCTGTTCACTTTATAGAGTTTTGAGTTAGTAAAGAAGAGTTAACTTGTATCTTGTTTTTCCATTATTGAATATTTCTCCTTTTCCATCTGTAAAGTTGAAGCTTTATTTTGTATAGGAAGTAAGAAAGCAATGAATGGAGTGAATGGAGGATGGGATTTTGTGTATGGCAACTGCATCCTGTAATAATTGGAAAATGCAAACTTCTAGAAAGATTGAAATAATTCTGGGAAAAGCATACAAGCGTTTTGCATTGTAAATTAAATCTTCTAAACTATCTAGAGTCATTTCTTATTGTGACAGGAGGGAGGGAGGAAAGGAAGGAAGGAATCAATCAGCTAGGAGGAGTTACTACAATAACTAAAATCAGCATTTCATCATATTCAATATCTCTATTTGTCTGTCTATCTACTTACTATCCATCCATCCATCTATCTATCAATTCCTTTTAAAATTACCCTTTGTAATTATCTCTGAGGACAAAAAATTTCTTGCATCAGAAGATATATATATCTTATTTTAGCTTGGGTCAATTTATTTTTTATTTCCTTTGGAGCACATTTTAGCTTGATGTATTGCTAAAATGAGACTGACAGGCATAGGAAAAACCTGCTTGCTAAAACAGCTTTTTGTGAAGCACTATATTCATCTAGTCCTTCATCTTCCCTCAAATTATCAGGATCTTTGGTTATTATATAGATACTGTTATATATTATGTACTAAAAGAAAAGCTAGTAAATTGCTATCATATTTAATTTAGTAAAATTCCATTTGCTTATAGAATGTTATACAAACAGAGAGAGCTGATAAAGCTAGCAATATCTACATTCTTTAACAGTTATATCTAGTTTAATTTTTTTGCATTTTTGTTCACAGTCTTATAGTGCTAGAATATTGCCTAAACTGCCAGTTGGTCCACATGATTTAGTACAGTGTACATCATATGTGATCAAGCATCCCTGCAGCCTTTCAAAGATTCTGGTACATGATTGCAAGGAGGATAATACTAGCATGTGGAAAGAGAGATCTTAGCACATTTTCTTTCCCATTTAAATTGCAAAACGCTGCCAGCTGCGCATCGGCAGAGTAAGATAATTTTAGGGAGAAATGAGAGACAAAGCTGAGCATCCAGAACCAAAGATTCATCAGTATTACATTTGGCTTTTAAATAGCATGACTGCTTAGAATTTCAGCCAAAATATTTCCCATTCCCACCCAGAGATTCTTAGAATTTAGATACATATTCTCCAATGAATAGTGGATAGATAGTGGAGAATAAAGATGGTGGAAAAATTCTTGTTTGAAGCTCCTTATTTGATTACACCCAGGCCTTGAACTATGACCAAAAGGGAAATAGGATAATAGGATATCGTAAAATAAGTGACAAACTCCTAATTTGCTGACAATTTTTAAGCAGTAATAGCAGTTGACATATGTTAAGTTAAGCAATTTACTCCATGTTATTATATCAGTGAATTTTAATTCATGCAAGGTTCTTTCTGTTCTTGTTGTGCAACTCATCGTAGTTCAGAACTTTATCTCGTTCAGAGACTTTCCCATCCCTCCAGGACAAAGGCAGTGAGGACTGAAGGGAATAGTTGGAATTCATCCGCCAGTACTGTCCATTCTGGACTTGTTTATATCCTTCCTAGATATTTTATTTCATGCAGCTTTACTGATTTTAAATTAAAATTCATTGAGAAATAATTGTAATCTACCTTAGATATATCTCTTCATCTCTCACATTGCTTCTGTTAATATTTTGTTTTAGTCTCTGATAAGTAATATCAGTCAGGAGTCCTATTTTATAATGCAATGTTCCTGTACAGATAATTATTGCTATGAATATAGATATACAGATGGTTTTTAAACAGGATTGTACACTTGGTATGTACTCATATCCACCAAGAAATCAAAATTTACCTAATTTCAAAAGAATTTACTGAACAATCACTATATACAGTATATATTTCATATTATACAAACAATAGCCTTTATTGTATTAGCAACTCTTAGCTCAGTTTATCAATTAATTTGCTTTCCTTTCTACAACCTTCATTTGATTGGCAAAGATTGGCATCATTTTTACATTTCAGTATTTCATTATTATTTTCCAAGTAATGAATTTCAAATAGTTTTTTCTGATTTGGAATCTCCATTAATTTTTATTCTCTTGAGGAATGTGAAAGCTGATATCTTTGGAGCAATCCAAAAACAGTCAGTTAAAGCAAACACTGAAGTTCACTATTTACTGTATTTATGTAAACCAATATATATTTCTTGCTTTCAGTAAGTGTGACAATGGTCACAATCTCGACATAGATTTTGCTGTTATTCTGAGAGTGGCAGGAAGATATTCTGAGTTATCTACAATCTCACTTTCGTTGATGTTTAAATCAGAACTCATAAAACAGTTCTCCTATGCATCTTGTTAGTATACAGCCCAATTATAACAATAACCTTATAAATAAGATTGGATATCTTCAACAATTTCTGCGTCTAAAGAGTAGCCTGGGACACTCAGAAGTAGTATTGAACCTAAATAGAAACTATTTTACTTTCTATAACTATTTATAGTACTTGATAGTTTCCCTCTGTATTAGGGGAAAAAAACTGTTTATGGAAAAACAAGCCACTCTTTTCTGCTCCTGTAATTAAAGGTATAATTCTTCAAAAAAAACCTTAGATACGGTTTTTACATGATCCGTTGTCCTTTTGAAAGGAAGATTAGATTTTAACAATCTACCAAGTTATCAACAAACTTATGATAACCCTCCAATTTAAATGGAAATTATTTTAGGAAGGACTTAACTTAAGGTAGAGTATATGGAATCAGCTTCCAATAAAGGACACATGTTTACAGTTATAGAATTCAACTAGATTATTAATTCAATAGTTGGCCTTTTGCCAATTTAATATTTTTATTTTACTTATTTTAAACTCCCAAGAAACTCTGGCTTCAGGCTTGGTCTTAAAGAGTTTTCTTATTCTCATTCAATAGCTTTTTGAAGTCATACATATTTGGATCATGAAGTGTGAGGATCACATCTGCTTTATTCAGTGAACTTCTATTTTTAAATTTGGGGAAGGGGGGTGAAGGAAGGAGGAACAGAGGGAGGGAAGAGATAAAAAATGAAATGACATCCTTTTCATCTGCTGTTACATTTGTTTTAAGCCATAACTACACTTTTGATTACATTTACCCAACTTTTACTTGTGTAGACTTCTAAAAATTCTACTAAATAGTAAGTCCACTATTATGCAAAACATCCCTTTATACTTGGATTTCTTTTAGTCTAGAAGTAATTAACTTGAGTTTCTGGTTTTATCTGATAAACAGCCTGACAGTAACGATTTTTTGGACAGTTCAGAAGAAATATACTACACTGCAAGATCTAATCTGGTATTTTCATCTATTGCTTTTTCTTTGTCAGTGTATGTGTGTGTTGTTTTTTAAAAATGAAATATTTTGTCCAGTTCTTATGTTGCTTTCACCATTTGTAGTCAAATTCATTAAACAGTTCAACCATAAAATTATACATTTAATGTGTAACAATATTGATTTTTTATATAATGGGCTGTATAATCTCACATATTAAGATAAAGCAATTTGAAATAATAAGAAATTATTATATATTAGCATTTAAATAAGAGTCAGTTTGATGTAATGATTAAAACGTCAGACTAGAAACCAGGAGAACATGAGTTCTATTTAGTTCTGGTTTAGGCACAAAGCCTGATACGTGACCTTGGGATAGTCACTTTCTATCAGCCCTAGGAAGGAGGCAGTCTTAAACCATTTCTAAAAAAATCTTGCCAAGAAAACTGCAGAGACTTGTCTAGGCAGTCTCTGAGAATCAGACATGATTGAATGGAAGAAAACAAGCATTTAAATAACTAAGTGATAAATGGTTAGAAGGTCCAGTCAGCCAAGGAATTTTAGATGGAGGGATCCAGGAAAAGAGCCTTCTCTGCCATGGCTCCTGCCCTCTGGAATACCCTCTTCCCTGAGGTAAAATTGGCTCCCACCCTCCTGATGTTTCATAAGAGCCTTAAGACCTGGCTCTGACAGATGGTTTGGGGACTCAGTGGGGGAGCTTCACATTGGAGGTGGTTGACTAAATAAAATCTAATTCCACCTCCCTTCCCCATGTGTCCGGTTCCCTTCTTTGCCATTTTGTATTAATGAATTTATCTACTGTGTTATTTTATAATTGATGGTTTTAATGTTTTTATGTTGTAAGACACAAAATGGGCAATAAATAAATTTCAAAATAAATAAATAGATAAAAAGAAGGAATTCTAGAACATGACATGTATATAACATTTCAGCTTCATTACATTTGCAGAAAATAAATTTCTGTTTAAAAAACGTTAGTGTAAGAAATTACATAACTTCTCTCAAAGTTCAAATGACTCTTTCTCTCCAGCTACTTTCAAGTCCAATTTTTGCTTCCATAGAGCATCACAGGAAATACCATTGCTTGCATTATTTTGATCTTTGTCAATTTAGAGACCTCATGACATTTTGAGTCTTCATGATTGTTCTATCAAGTGTTAAAATTTCTCAATTTTCCTTTACTGATGATAGTTGATCCTAAAAGGCAATATTTATATTGCTAGTCCATTTATGATACGCTATACGCTAAATAAATAAATATCCACCACTTTGATATCTTCATTGTCAATTCTAAGGTTAGTTGTCTACCTATTGTCATCAATTAGGTCTTTTTTATATGTAATCTTTTACTCATTTTTTCATTATGCTCCTTAGCTTAGCTTTTATTACTAGAGCTTTTATTACTATTATTGCCAGTGGTATTTCAGACATCATAGTAGTAGTCACCAACCTGGGACAGGTTATTGGTGTTTCTTCCTCCAATTTTAAAACCGCTCTCATCTTCTTCCAATCCAGTCTTCCTTAATATATATTCAGCATATACTTTGAATAAATAAGGGGAGAGTACAAAGCCTTATCACACTCCTTGCCAATCTGTTTTGCCATGTTCTGTCTATAATGTGGGTTTCTGACTTGTATATAACTTTATCATAGTGAGATATTCTGAGATTGCCATTTTTCTGAGCAAATTCTGCAGTTTTACATGATCAACACAGTCAAAGGCCTTTCTTTCATCAATGAACCACATAGTGACTTCCTCTTGGTATTCTTCGGTTTTCTAAATTATCCAGCATACATCAGCAATAATATCTTCTGTTCCTCGTCCTTTTCTAAGATTGAATATTTGGCATTCTTTTTTATATAGAGAGAGCGCTAATCTGCATTGGATGGTCTTAAGCATTATTTTGGTAGCATATAAAATTAAGGATATTGTACAATATCCTTTTTAAAGTTTGGTTCTTTTGTTATTGGAACATTGATCTCTTCCAGTCTGTTGGCCATAGTGCTGTGTTTCACATTTTCTGGCATAGTTCGGGTAGATCCTTTACTGATTCTTCTTCTGTTGCTTGTTATATTTCTCTGAATAGTCCATCAGTTCCTGAAGTCGTCCAACCTAGTAATGATCAGAATGCTGATCTAACTTCATCTTCTAGTGCTAGAACAGAGTTCTCCAATGATTCCAGCTTTCTACAATTCTTTTGATTGTCTATCAATGAGATTCAGTGCTTCAAAGTAATTCCTGACATGCTAGAATACAACAGTTAATATGCTTAAAACTATATTGTGGCTGTCTTCATCATCTATAGTTTAAGAGTAAACAGTTGGACTATTTTAAGGTCTTTTCCAACCCTTACATTCTATGATAAAAAATAAAACACCTAAATTCTTTAGTGTGTGCAAACTTTTATTGTAAATATCTTAATATAGAGATTTGCAACGTATTTTTGCAGAACTATCAGAAGATAATATAGTATTCACTTAGATATGAAGTGCTTAATTATTGCTTAGAATTATTTGAGAACATCAATAACCTGTTCATTCTGGCTGAGCATAAGAGCAGTGGTTGCTTGGTAGCAAGTGAACCCAGTGGTTTAATGGGCCTATTCCAATTCTTGATGTTATAAATCTAAGGTTCAAGTGCTTTCTTTAAATTGCAGAGTAGTTAAGACTTATTTAGCTAGAACAGACCAAAAAATTCATCAATTAAATCTGATTTAGTGAGATAGGACTGCTTTACCCAGCAGGTGTTTTCTAAATAGAGAAACCATGTCTGAATATTTTGATGGAGTCTGTGAGGTATCAATCTGGATTGGACATATAGTAATAGTATATAACGGGTCCCCAACCCCCAGTCCACAGCCCTTTCGGAACCGGCCTGCACAAGTGGTGTTTGTGTGCACACGCAGCTGCATTCGTTAAAGTGGTGGGCAGATGCACATGAAACCACCCCCTTCCCCCCTCCCTGCTGCCACTTCAGGTGGTCCATCAGGCCAGAAAGGTTGGAGACCATTGGTACATAAGAAAGAGCAAGTATATAAGACAGAGGCATTCTGTCCTGATCTTCTAATTTTGCTAATATAGCCTACATATCTATTGTTTGATGTTGTTGTCCAAAACTATGATGTGTTCTTTTTTTCTTTTCTTTTTTCCTTTTACACAAAAAAATTGGGCTTTCAGAGAAAGAGAGAGTGCTCACCATTTCTCATGTTTGTTAACTGGTAAAATAAAAATAAAAAAAAAGGACCTGAATATGCCACAAATTATATTTGGGCTGAGCATAATAATAATCATTCAATCAATCAATGTATATTATGGTCTATGACCAATAACATCCAAAAATTGCAAAAGAAAAAAAAAGAAAAAACCAAAACCATTATATTTTGGACCACCGAGACATGCGTTTAAATATAAGATAATACTAGGCCAGGGGAAGGAGAAAGAGAGGAAAAAATTCCATACTTAGTAATGTATATAATTATATAGTACTTAAATATTACAATTTCATATATCCTATTTCTCTTATGGCTAATTATTTACATTTGCTTGGGAATGCTTCCCAAGGTGGATAGTACATACCATGCAACAGTGTTCATTTTTCAGAAAGAAAATGCAGGCATATGATAAAGCTATTGCTTTCTATGACAAAGGCATTCATGGTTCCTATAGAAAAAGTTTTGATTATTTGTATGAAATTATTCAAAACAAAAGATATGAGCAATGTGAGCTGATCATAGTATCTTCATATTTTTAAGTAGTTACTTCATGAAGAATATCTATGTAGTTGCTATAAGTCAACTTGATGACATATAATCCTTGCTTTAACTTCTGTGCTTCTATAATGTTTGTTTCTAGTGATTGGAAATCCCTCTAAACCGGTGTTTCTCAATCTGAGATTGAGAAACTTTGGTCTAAGCAATAATGGGATATGTTATAAAGATCATAATAGAAAGAAGAAATCATCAAACCAAAATAGGGCACCAGGCTATCCTGGAATTACATATCTTCTTGTTGCAAACATTTCACATCATAATGCAACCCTTTCCTGTAGAAAGGATTGACAGTAATTATTTGAGTTGAATATAAGAACAATAGTAGCAAAGCCCATGTTGCAATTCGGAAAAAAGGAAGGCCACAAGATAACATGACCCAATTGCTCTTTTTTGTAATTATTGTTTTCGCTCTATAGGATTTGCAGCTAGAATATGGTCATGGTCCTCAAGGCAGTTACTTCTTGGGTGCAAATAAGTGAGTACACGTTATAAATGATGTTAATATACTGCTTTATTTTTTTATTTAATGCTGTTTATTTATTCCAACACTGAAGTTAGTTATAAAAACAAAAATGCCAAATATAAAACAAAATAAATTGAATACTGATAAAATTTTAAAAAACAGAATCAGTCATTAAAAAATAATGTTAATATTAATTGATTTACTTTTTCAAGAAGGTAACATTTATATAATGATACCAGTGAAATTTAACTGAATTCAGTTGTGAATGTGTAAGTGAATTTTAAAACCATTAGCTTTTCTCCCAAACTTGATCCTCCAGAGTGATTGGAACTACAATCACTATTATCTACAGTTTGCATATCCAATGGGTCTTATTGTCTAATACATCTAGAATACTATTTGTTGTGCTTATATATGTAGCTAAGGAATTTTTCCTTTTCCACATAGAAATGTAGCTTCCTTGTATGCATCTGTGTCATAAAATGTACCTGTCTGTATATATGTGCATACTATATGTTAATCAACTTGTAAAACTATTTTAATTGAATATTTATTGCTTCCAGAATAAGAAAAAGGAGCCATTGTAACATATTATTTTCTACACATGTACTTTAATGCACCTAAATTTCTTTCTTGATCATCCAAGATATTGTCAAACTTTTTTCTTATGGCATTGCATTATATTACTTGAGGATGGCTTTTCCTCTGCTTTTTTTAAATAATTATTATAACTATATATAAAAATAAGCTGTACTCCTCCTGTCCTACATAGAGTTGATTATCAGGTGCAGTAATTAGCTCATCAACATACACTTGAATAGAAATCTGTAATTAGCTGAAAAATCATTTGCCTCCGATTGCAATTCAGTTTTCATGTATTATCTTTAATACTTGATATAACTTATTGCATGGCTTTAATATGTGAAATCATTTACAAATATGTCTGATTTTATGTGCTTCGCTAAATGTGTCTTGTCCTTGAATTTTACTTCTATTTTTAAAGGAGCCTTCTAAAATCAGTTGAAGAAGAACTACATCAGCGGTAATTGTTAAATTTCTTTTCTTCTTGATTGCAAAGTCCTTTCTCTTATGCAAAGAGGTATGCATGTGTCTCCTATCTCTGTCAAGTGCTTATGAGCTATATTCTTGTCAAATGCTTGTAGAAGTCCTTTGCTTGTCTGAGTTGCAGCTGTAATTTATTCTTTCAAACAAACAGGATTTCAAAGAACACATTGATAATTGACTATTCTGTTTAGCTGTGCTATCTGTTTAATTCTTTAGGGGACATGTAGCACATCTAGAAGATGAAGATGAAGTGGACAGTGATGATTCCAAACAGTAAGTTACACTAATTTCAAACATTTATTGTTCAGTATTTAGAAAAATACTGCTTTCATTATTTCCCCTTCAAAAGACCCTGTAGTAGAATATTATGTCAGGGGGCTTTCTTTTTCTGGAAGATTCTAGAAAGCAGGCAAAGCTAATCAAGAGGTGCACTGCCTGGTGTCCCTTTGCTGATTTCCCAGGATTTAGAAATCAATACTAAAGGTTAAATTAGCACCTTCAAAATGTGTTTTGAGCTACAATTCCTGCCATCCTTCAAGACTTCAAGCTGTGAAAGACTTTCACAAGTTTTTCTTTAGATAAATCTCCCCCAAATTGTTATGATTGCATATTCCCTGGGGCCATGGTGAAGAAAAATATGAATATTTCACACCAAAGGCCATTCTGATACAAATATAGAATGCTTGTCACCTCGTTAAAATAGGATCAGCTGTAAGAAGACCCTGACTGATAATTACTTCTGTTCTCACTGTACAAAGTATGTATGTCCCTCATCACAGTTTTACCAGAATGTGAAATGCCAATTCAATAGACAATTTTAATTCTCATCGTTTTATGGTCAAAAATCAGCATAAGTATTCACATTAAAAAACCTTGAAGATCTTACAGCTATTTATTAGTTGATCTCATGTTTAATAGTGAATCAGACACTGCTGTGAACTATGTTGCCTTGAGCAGTGTGATATCAGAAAACAAATCTAAATTTTATATATATATCTGATTATGATAGTGTCTTTTATTGTTTTGTTCCCAAATGTTCTAACCACACTTTAAAAGGGCAAATTTTCATGAGAATAAAAAGTAAAGTAGACAAAATATGAGTCCTCGACTGTATGTAAGGAGTCAAATGTTTACTTTAAATCCAAACCCTTAATAAATAAGGTGCTTTTTTATTGTCTGATGCTCTAATTCCAGGCTTTTCTTGAATAAAGATATGAGCCTGTTTGGCAGTATCCCTCTAGGTATATGCTTGTATGTGTATATACCTAAGACAGATAAAATGTTATATATTTTAGAAGATGAAATCAGAAACTAGGAATCTTTTAAATAATATGTTCAAAATTATGTAGCACATTATTTTGAAAAGGTCAGTTTTAGTTAGCATATAACATATTTGTCCCTTTGATTTTAGAAGATTTTGAAAGCTGCATGTAGCATGTGGGTTGTCCCATTCAAAGCATTTCTCCTTGTTTCTGAACCTTATTTATCATTGTCATTGTGTTTTCAATTGTGGATGGGGATGATGGGGATTATTATTTTTATTTATATGTAACATACATGAGTATATAGAATTCTACACAGGCAAATGGATGCTAAGTTGTTCTCAAATCTTTGGAGATTTGCAGGCTATAATAAAGTGAACCACAACTTTTGGAATACATGGCACTGTTTAGATTATTTTAAAATACTGAATTCTTACTTTTTATAATTAATACTTACGTTTTCTTCTCACAGTTCAACCATGAAAGCAAAGGTGCCACCTCCTTTGCCACCAAAGGTAAAAAGGATTCTCACTTCCTATTAGAAGTGATTCGTTATTTGTTAAATTTATGACACTCATTTCATTGTGGAGTGACTCTGGGTGACTTACAACATTATAAAACAGCAACATAAAATTATAATTATGAATATATAATTATATAAATAAAATTAGAATTATATAAAAATAATAATTAGAATGTTGCAACATTTAAAAAAATATTAAAAGTTACAAAAAAGAAACTAGATAAGAAAGGAACCAATGCATAAATGAGGTAGAGATGGGTTCTTCTTAATATACTAACCACCTCAAGAGTGGGATGCCCCCATTGGGGTTTCAAGCCAATCGACAAGCCAGGTCTTCAGGCCTTTTTGGAAGGCCTGGTGGGTGGGGGCAGATCTCACCTTGAGGAACACAATATTCCAGAGGGTGGGAGCTACAGTAGAAAAGGCTTGTCTTCTGGACTCTGCCAGCTGAATATATTGGCTAAGCCAATTGTAATAATGCTGATTTTTTTTTAAGTTGTGGATTATTGGACCAGGAAGAAATTCTATGCTTTCTTTTCTTTTCGCCCAGATTACTTGATTTCCAGAGTGGGAGTTTGATTGATTTAAGGAATTAAGATAGCTTCATTGAGGGCAGGAGGGATGTAAATTCCTATAAGGATTTGTCATATTTGAATTCAACATAGAATTGGATATAAGGCTAAAACAAAATATTGTTTACTCTCTATCAACTCAGTAATTGTACTAAATTATATCATTAACAAGTAAAAGAACAAAACTTATTGTTCTCATTACAGATATAAAGAAAATGTGCTTTAAAGTACTGAGTTTCTTTCTTTCATTACCAGTAAGTGCAGCTGGTCTTTACAGATTTAGGTTTAAAGTATAAGGGTGTAAGAGCTTAAAATGAAAGTAGTATGATAGATGTTCTAGATAAATAACTGCATAGTCATCTTAGAATAATGATTTATTCTTTTTTTAGCCTAAATCCATCTACGTTCCACAGGAAAATCATACTTCTGAGGATGATAATCAAGGAACTATTAAAAGATGTCCTATTACAGAGAGTCCTGCAAAATCAAACACTCAAGTCCCTCCTAGACCACCACCCCCTCGGTTACCTCCACAGAAATCAAACATTTTAGGTAATGGATCATATTGAGAAAAACTGCTTCCATACAAGCTGAGACTCTGCCTCTGTGGACAAGGGGTTATCTAAACTACAACTTATGTCCTACTATATTGTTCCTTCTCTAAAAGACACATCTCCTAACACCACACCTGATAAAATAACCAGGAAACACCAAACTTTTTTATGTACAATTTCTATTATTGGTTCAGTCCACTGTAATCTTTTTGAATGTACTAAATTTTGTTATACTGTGAAAAATTAGGCAGTCTTTGGCTGCCCATTGATAATCCACCATTAATTGTAATATATTATCTTGTCTTTTTTTAATGCTTCTTATTTGTAACTCTGTATTGTACTTCAATCTTGCAGCTCCCAGCATATTCTAGAGTGAACAAAAAGAAAAATAATTAGTATACGGTCTCAGTTTGATGTTTTTCATCATAACATTTTTGTAGCTCAAACTGCAAATAAACTACAATTGTCAATCCTGGGTTCATATTTCAAGTATACCAAGTTGATATGTGTGCCATTTAAGGAGTTTTGTTTCAGAAGATTGGCAAATTTGTTTTGCAAGCCTAGTCTACTTGAAGGTTCAGAGCAGGCAACAAAATCAGCTTTCAATAGAAACAGAGTATTTTTATCAGTTTTTTGGAATGTCTCACTATTTTCAAATTTATCCTTTAGCTCATAGGCCAACGTAGACATAAGCCTTATAGTGCTTCTGAAATATTCTCCAGCTTGGAGATTGGGATTTAATTATGTAAATGAGAGTTAATCTCAACAATCCTTCGTAGCTTTTTGGAAATCTGAAAATGCTTTCAGTAGATCTTGGAGATTTCAATGATGCACGTGAATTGAAGTGTTTTTGTGATGCATTCTTTAATTGCCTTTAACATTTCTTTGAAGGTAATGGATTTAATTCTGTGCAATTAAATGGTGACAAGGAAAGTTCTCATCAAGAACCAACTGAGAATAGGCACACTAATCCTAGGAAAGAAAGAAAGGAAATATTGGTAGGTAATGCTATGTTTCTGCTTTGTTCTTTCAGATTGTTGGAAAAACTCAATGCAAATTCCTTTAAGTTATCGCATCATATGATTTGCTTGTATTTTGGGGCTATTTTTATGCTAGTGAATTGAAGCATTTGTATTGCAAAGAAAAGCAAAATAATAAATCCATTATTAATGTTATTGTACAAACTTGGAATGTAGGTCTCAGTGAATGTCTGAAATGTACTTTCCATCTACCAGAAATAAGCTTTTCAGGAGCTATAATTGTGGAAGGAATTGTAAGGTTGGCAGTCTTAACATATATTGTGAGTGCCTTTTGTAAGAATGCAAAAAAGAAATTACTCAAAAATGAAAGCAAAATTGCTACCAGTCAGATCATATTCCAAAAACTGCAAAATAAGACAATGACTAAGGGGGGGGGGGCGATAATTTATGTGCAGTGTTGGGACCAATATCTCTTACTTGAACATGTTTTTCTAAACAAAAGGTATTTTACTTTATTCAGCATAGAATGGAAGATCATGATTCTCATAATCAATTACCAGTGGTAGAGTGTCCTGTTTACACAAGAATATAATGAATATCTTGCTCTTGCATATTCAAGATCACTTTAGACTGCAATAGGAAGACAAAGAAATTACTTATCCTCTAAATCCAATGGCAATGCTTCTAATCATGGTTTAGCTGCAGATATGCAATGATGATTCATCCCAAAGGTTACAGATGCAAAACTCCCTCTAATTACTTTCATTTATTGTGTAAACCCAGTACAATGGATATTTTTTATTAAAATAAACCAGAGAGAAAACCTAAGCTTTTAAATCAGTATTGATAGTACTAGACCAGATAGTCAAAAATACATACCTAACCTAAATAATCCCCTAACTTTTTTCTACTTCAAACTTATGCGCTTCTCTTCTTTGAGAATCACAATTACAGGGAAGCAACCTGTTCAAATAGCACACAAAGAATAGCCCAAAGCACGCACTCTGCTAGAGAGAAGTTCCCTGAGGATGGATTCTCCAGCACAAGTCCGAAAGCTCGGAAGACTAAACCTCAGGTCCCGGTGACTGACCCAGATTGAATCCTGCAACATTATCCTGGGACACTTATATCCACCTTCATTCATGAAACAACCTGCCCTTTTGGGCTGTCTTAAGTTTCTGGTTCTTCTCCAACTTGAACCTACCAAAGAACATTGCCTTCATTGTTTTGCTGAAGTATAGAAATCTAATTAATAGGCCCCTTCTGCAAGTCTTGAGATGAAAGCTAGGTCTCCCCATCATACTTAAAAGTACCCTTTTGATGCCATGAGCACATTTCAATGGATTTTTTTCCAGCTATTTTAGCTCAGATTCAAAGCCAGTATTTAAATGTATGTTTCTTTTCTTTCCTAGAAGCCAATTAGTAACGGTCTTCCTCCTACACCAAAAGTACATGTAAGTATTCCATTCTGAACCTGACAAACTCCTTTTAATAAAATTGAAATACTATCCAACAGCATTGTTGAATACAATTTTTATTTAGAAATTACATTTATGTACTGCATTAACAATATTATGCCTGTTACAACAAATACTTACAGAGTAGCTGTAAATCTCTGAGGATCTGGGATCCAGATGTATTGTGTTTGAAATAAATTTAAAAATACAAAAGGTGCAGTCAATGTTTTTCAACAAAACAATGTTGACTGCCATAGCTAATCAAGTAGGAAGTTAAATCAAAAAGAAAGAAGGGTATAAAAATGATACAAAGATTTAACTACAGCCAAGGAAATAAAAGGATACTTTTGGTTTTGAAATAATAACTTAAGTTGTAGCTATAATAAATAGAGCATAATTTCTGTTATTGGTCCAGAATAAACTTTTTCTTATTAAGTAGCTGCAGTTATATATCACAAACCAGGAGGAGTGTAGGAACACCTTTTCAGAGTAAAACATTTTATTAAATGGTTTAAGCTTTTTTAAGTACGGCTTACCTCATCAGGTGCATGGAGTGGCTAAGGATTTCAATCCTAAGAAGTAGGATTTAAAATTTATTTATTTAAGCATTTATATGGTTGCCCAGCTCAGACCATGTGATTCTAGATGGCATCCAAAAAATATAGTCATACAACTATTATTAAAACTTACTAAAATAATAAAATGACACTCAGAACCTAAATCTTCTGTAGCTCATCAATTGGAATGAGCTGGGAAGAATGGAGTGGAAGATAGTTGCCTGTGAGACAAAATTTGTTAGTGTTAGTCAAAAAGGGTTTCTAGACTCCTTTTAATTTTGCCACCATAGACTAACTGTGCTCTCCTACAATTTGTAATCACATTAAAGCAAAATCATTGTGTGATATGTCATATTGTTATATGCAGATCTTTCACTTCACTGAAAGTGCTCATTTTTAGTTGAAAATTGAAAGTTCTTGAGCCACTCGTAAATTCATTGTTCTAAATTATGTGTGGTTTTATTTTACACAGATGGGTGCTTGTTTTTCAAAGGTTTTCAATGGATGCCCCTTGAAAATTCACTGTGCAACTTCATGGATAAATCCTGATACAAGAGGTAATAGTCTCATCAAATTTTCCTAAAATTATGTATTTGTCCTGAACCAGGATGAAATAATATTTAAAAAATAATATTTAATAAAAAGCATTTTATTATGGATTTGAGTTCTGGCTGCCACTTGAATGCTCATACACTGAGGCAGGCAATTTCCCCTAAAAGATGGATAGTTCTCTGTAATCTCTTTTGAAGCAAGATTCTCTGCTAAAGTTTTTATCAGTCAATATTTTATTTATTTATTCATTCGTTCATCACATTTCTATACCCCCATCTCACCCAAGTGACTTTTTTCTGGTTGTTCTAGTAATTATCTGCAAATTTATGAAGTAATCCCAATGGAACGTGGATTTGATTTATTGAACTAGTATGGATACCTGGAATAACTATAATCCTGTTAAACATTTTTACAGAATGAAAGTCATCTACCATGTTATATGTTTTCTCTTTAAACCTAATATCACACTAGATATCTATTTGAGGCTTTTCATATGATTTAAGATTTTATTGTCTATACTAATGATCCTCTGTGAGCCTTTCATCATTCTGCTTAATCTTGATTATACAGATAAGACCTAGTTTTACACAGCTAATGGAACAAAATAGCTAAATTTGAAGGCCATAGGGTCGTCTGTAGATCAAGGGGAGGAGGTTACCTTTATTTATTTATTTATGCATGCATGTGTGCATGCCCTCTGGTCAACCTTATTTATTCATTTATTCAGTCATGCCTTCAAATCACCTTTATTTGTTTTTTTATATTTTGTGCCTTTGATTCCTGGCAACTGCCTGGATAAATCTCTGCAGTTTTCTTGCAAGGTTTTTCAGAAGTGATTTGCTACTGCTTCTCCCTAGAGTTGAGAGAAAGGGGGAGAGTAGCCAAAGGTCACCTACCTAGTTTTGTGCCTAGGTGGAACTAGAAATCACAGTCTTCTGGTTTGTTGCTGGTACCTTAACCACTATAGGTTTCTGCTTGAGCAGTGGGTTCTATTAGAAGACCTCTAAGGTTACTTCCAATTCTGTTATTGTATTAAAATTATATTTCAGGTATTGGTTCTAGCTTAGCTCATACAGTATGCTTTCTTTGTTCTTTTTTACTTTTGCAACAAGTTTGCTACACACACAAACACACACTCACGGTCTGAAAATAGTACAGGCCATTTTGCTGTGTTGTCATCTTGTTCTTCTGCATATGTAGATACATTCTTCCTTCTTAGGAAGGAAGACTGCAGGGTCAGCTACCTGTAATGAGGCTGGCACACCAGTCTTCATCCCTTATGAGAATGCTATTTCACATAATGAAACAGTATGGTTTAGCATTGCCAAATCTAAAGACAAAAACGTTTCTTGGACAATAGGGAAAATTACCCTATTGCTGTATGTTTCACATGAAATGAAAAATAATCTTAATGCTAAGCATCCAATGTTCTGTTCTCACTTAGAGATGGAAGATTCCATGGAGTCCATCCTGTTTTGCATATATCAGTTCTCAACAGAAAATTATTCTGGTTTAGATATGGAAAATCAACCATGGAGTTGTTATCATATGATAAGGAATGAAGCATTCATTCCTTGCAGTTCAAGTTTTTTCTAACTAAAAAAACTTGAGCTTTCTTTGTTTATGCAGAGAGAACTTGATGATGGAGCCATCAGAGATAAAGCTTCTCCTTACAAACTTATACTCCCTTTAAATGCTGAGTGGCATTGAGATGAAAAGTTTACAAAGATGTTAAATTTGCCACTAATAAAGTCTTAGAAATACCAAGCTAGCATTGACCTAAGGGAAAAAATTGTAACCTCTGCACAATTTGCAACTGAATAGACCTAGGACAAAATATAGACCTTTGTCAATTAATATTTAAAAATTAGAAATATTTGATTTTTATTTATCACATTTTTAAATCATCTATCTCCCTTATATTGGGGAGGGGAGGGCTGTTTCAGACTTCCAAATAGTTGGCTCATAATGTACATCCAAAAATTAATAAATAATGATGGTTTATATATAACAGTTCCATTAAGCAATGCAAATCAGTGAAAGACAAAAGTTGATGCAGAAAGTTGTAAAATTGTATATATCTGTTGTTAGTATTGTATTTTAACGTCTGGTGTTTTTGTTTTTGTCTCTTGATTTCTTTTGCTATTGTGTGTTTGGTTTTAAAATGTAAAATACTCAATAAAAATTATTTTAAAAAAAAGAAAGAAAGAAAGAAAATGGCTTTCAGGCACTAACCAAATTTGCTTTGTTTCAGCATGGATTTTCCAACCATGCATGGTGTAATCTGTAATTCCTTGCCATGTAACTCAAGATATTTTGAATCGCTTGTTTAAAAAGGAATTCATTCATATATCTGCCCTATGTTTAAGTAGTATATTTTAATCTATGCTATTTTAAATGAATGGGTATTGCTTTGAGAGACTTTTGTGTGCTAAAATGAAAACTTTTGTTAAGTACTTGCATTTCTTTGTAGATCAGTACTTAATATTTGGTGCTGAGGAAGGTATTTATACCTTAAATCTTAATGAGCTTCATGAAACATCAATGGAACAGGTTTGTATTCAGATTTTGGTTTTCAAATGTAGCAGTGAATAATTTTCTCAATACAGCCTAAAACATTTTTCTGTTAATACCAAGAGATCAGATCTTTATTTTTAAGGCTGAAAATTGTTAAGTTTGGGGGTAGATATTTTACAGCTACAATTACCACTAGATGGAGTACGCTAAACTCCAAAACATTTTTTAAAAGAATGTAAATTACTCAGATTTTTCAGATATGTAGATAGTTTATCTATTTATCTATCTATCTATCTATCTATCTATCTATCTATCTATCTATCTATCTATTTAGATGAAGATAGCTATATCTCATTAAATGTCCATATTTCTATATATGATCATATGACATGTTACCTATTAATTGATCTAAATAAAATAGATTTTTTAATATCCAGGAAAAAAAATGGATGTCTATGTAAAGCATTGGATTTTACCCAAAATAGATAATGAAACGTCAGACAATAGTTTATCTATATCAAAATATTATTAGTGCAAAACCAATAAACAGTATACTTGAGTATACACTAATTGTTAAATTTACTTTCATTATATTTAATTACTGTATATCCGTTTCAAATTAATAGAAAATATAAAACAATGTGGAAATATGAATGCAGGTATCCAGAATGTAGACTACAGTTTTGGATAATGGTTAAGGGAATTGTTTTAAAGAGAAAGTGCTAAAATGCCACCCATCTCCCTACTCAGAATTTGTGGTCTGATCAGAGACTTTATATCCACTGATTTTATAACATCTCAATCCAGATCATGGGACAATGATACAGCAAGTATGATTGAAGGTAAAATATAATGCCTTATGTCCACCTTAAATGGGTGAGTTGAAGCATAAGACACTTTGGGTGACCCACCAGTAGCAGCAAAATTAAGAACTACATCATACTGAGTATGATTACTGAATAGCAAATGAATGTCAGCTGACAGTTCCTTCCTAGAGGATCTTATCTTGTGCAAATTGATGGGACTCTCCTTGGCATGAACTGTTATGAAGAAAAGACTTCCTTGGTCTTGGCTACCCTCAGCTATGTTAAAAACAAATAGGGTACAATTACATCAAGCCGTGCTTAATTTGAAACATGATTTATACCTTATGCATATGGCTTTCCTGCAGGTCCTATAGGCTATCTACTAATGAATCAACCACAACTATTTAACTTTACACTTTTTACATTTATTTTTTATTGGAACCGTATATTAAAAGGTGGATTATAGGTTTAATGAACAACCAAGAAAATATGTGCACTAAGCAAGCATAAGACAGGATGTCTAATAACAGCTTACTATATCAAGTATATAAATTATTGCTCTTCCTTTTATCAGCTATTTCCCCGACGATGCACATGGCTATATGTAATGAACAATTGCTTGCTGTCAATATCTGGTAGGTCATGTCATTAAAAAAATGTAAAAATTAGTACATTGGACTGTAAAGTAATTTTATTTACCCTTTTATTTATAGGTAAAGCTTCTCAGCTTTATTCTCATAATTTGCCAGGATTATTTGACTATGCACGGCAAATGCAGAAGTTACCAGTGGCTATACCAGCACATAAACTACCTGACAGAATACTTCCCAGGTAAATATATTGTTTGTATTGGATTGTATCTTGTTGGAGGGGGAGGTGTTTTTAAATGGAGTCCTTAAAATGGCTCACAAGTATTTGTAGATGAGAACAATTTATTGTATTTTTTAAAAAACTTCATTTAAACAGCCAGTGAAAGCAGACTGAAAAAAGTTGGAATTTCCTCTTCCTTACCCTCTAAAAATGTTCCAAAGTTTAAGATAATTTCCTGAATGGATTGAACTATGATTTAGGCACCAAGTGGATTAGGGAATAATAGCAATAGCACTTAGACTTATATACTGCTCCACAGTGCTGTTTAAGCGGTTTACAAAGTCAGCATATTGCTCCCAACAATCTGGATCCTCATTTTATTGATCTTGGAAGGACAGAAAGCTGAATCAAACTTGAGCCGTTCAGAATCAAACTCCTGACGTGAGCAGTGAGTTAGCCTGCAGTACTGCATTCTAACCACTGCGCTACCAGTGCTCTAACAGGAAAAAAAGCAGAATTTGTCTTCCATTGACATGGAACTCTGAGTTTGAAAAGGAATATCTTAAAAGGCTTTAATTTTAAAAAAAGTTGAGGGAACATTGTCCTCTTAAGGCCTGTTTCCTAAGTTCATCAAGTTCCAGATATATAAACTTCAACTCCCAGAATTCCCCAGCTACCAAGTTGGAAAACACAACTATTAAGGCAGGGTTGTCAAACTCGTGGCCCCTCGGGCTGGATGCATCATACACTGGCCATGCAGACGCCCGGGTTAGGAAAGGGGGGGGAGTCGCAATATGTTACATGACGACGCCCTGATGACGTGAGTTTGACACCCCTGTATTAAGGATTGCACAGGAAGGAGGCCAGATCAATTACAGGATAAGGAATGGCATTTAGATACTTTCTACACATAAAGTTCAGTTGAAGTTTTCTTAAATTTTCTGTAGCACTATAAGATTAGGGCTTTAGGTCTTTAATATTGGGGCTGGTGGTTTAATATTTTACAGACTAGAATTAACCTGCTTTATTTATGTAGTACACAGTTACAACTAACTGTACCTTCCTACCACTCTATTTCCAGCAATTGATTTGGAGCAAAATCAAGGCTCAGGTAGTAGAATCATATCTGGAGGAAGATATGATATTAATTTTCATTGTTCTTTATGCATTCTAGGAAGTTTGCAGTGTCTACAAAAATCCCTGATACCAAATGGTGTCAAAAATGTTGTGTGGGTAAGTAAGGATACCTTTTCATTTCAGTCTGTGTCTTTTTTATAATATACACCTGTATAATAATTGTCTTGGATTTTGCATTTAATAACTATTTTAATGTCTCTTGTAATTTGATGATGTACTTGCACCATGCTGTGAAGAAACATTTTTCAGAACAGGGTGCAAAATAAAATTTTCTGAGGCTGTAATAATTTGTAGGAATAGGATCTTTTGTTTCCAAGTTTCCCTGTGCAGTAGAGCTTTATCTCCCTATCCTTAACATACACTGTTATAACACATGTGTATATCTTCCTCTATATTTTTCTATATATTCCATATAGAATATCTTACAATAAGCACACATGAACTTGAGATGTTGGTTCCATGCAGGTAAGTGTCTCGGCAGACAAGGAAGGAAAATATTCATTCCTACCTAGGACTTTTTCCCCACAAAAGTATAATTTTCCCAATAGAAATTGTGATAGTTTTATGACCCTTTTATAATACTTTCATGTCTAATAAGGCTACAGCTACAGAAAAACAACAGTTTCATGTTAGCTTTTTATGCAGATACCCAGTTCTCTAGTGTTGCATAATATATAATTTATATGTCCATGCTTTACTTTTAAGGCAGGATTTCCTAAACTGAAGTTTACCTCCCTTGGAGAGGTAAAGACAGATCCAAGGAAGATGTGGAGGTCCCTTTAGTGTACACTGTTACAATGAATCCACCTTCCTCAAACTTTCATTGTACTGTTTCATTGGTCATCTCTGTTCATTTTGGTGTTTGGATTTTTAGATGAGTTATGTAGATTAAGATTACAGTAAAGGGATAGCAAAAGATTTAAGAAGTCCTGTTCTAAGGAGACTGCTCTTTTTTTTCAGTGAGGAATCCTTATACAGGACACAAATATCTTTCTGGGGCACTTCAGTCTAGTATTATTCTACTAGAATGGGTTGAACCAATGCAGAAATTCATGTTAATCAAGGTAGGTTCTTTTAAAAGCAACTTAATTCTAAGAATAAAGGAGAGAGAGGAGTGGGGGGGGAGATTATTATTAGTAGTAGAAGCAGTAGCTATGTTATTAACAAAGATGAGGTTAAAACATCTTCACAGCAATTCAGCCTGAATAAAGATCCTGGAGCTATATGGGGGGGAGGGTGTTTCGGGGGGGGGGGGGCATTTGATGGCTAGCAAAGTGGAGGGATAATTTTCTGGAGAGTGTTCAAAAATTACCTTGGATATAAAACTAAATTTTCCCAGCATGTTGTCCAAAAGAGAAAAATATTCTTCCAGTATTGTCATTGGCACAGGACAATGTAGGGAAGACTGTTGCTCTTCCACCTTTTCCCTGGTTGGGGAAAAGGTGGAAGCATTTAGGAAGCATGGATTTTTTTAGCATGGATTCAACCCTGCTTCCACATTTGCACTGTCCATAGACTTGAGATATAGTTAAAAATTCAAAGTTACCCCTCAGATACCTCACAGGATCATAACTGACATTTTGTTTTAACAGCAAAACCACAATCTCCTTTAAGACTTTATTTTTAGAATGTTAGCTATTGATCTATTTCATAAAGGAGAATTGAATTTACTAAAAAAAACTTAACAGAATGAAAGCCTATTTTATTGTAATATATTGTTGAAATAATTTAATAATATTCTACTTTGATAATTACTTTGTGAATAACGTATTTCTTGATTTAGCACATAGACTTTCCTGTACCATGTCCACTGAGGTTGTTTGAAATGCTTGTAGTGCCTGAACAGGAATTCCCTTTGGTTTGTGTTGGTGTAACTAAAGGGAGAGATTTCAACCAAGTAGTGAAATTTGAAACTATCAATCCAAATTCTACCTCTTCATGGTTTACAGAAACAGGTTTGTTATTTCCTATGATAATTCCATAAATTGCACTGTAATGGATTCTATACTATTTCCTGGATTTCTGTGCTTTATTTTTTTTTTTATTTCTGTACTTTCAGATTCCAGGTTTAAAATACTTCCATTCAGGGGTGAAGTCTAAAAATTTTTGCTACCGGTTCTGTGGGCGTGGCTTAATTAGTGGGTGGGGCTTGGTGGTAAGGTGACTGGGTGGGCGTGGCCAAGTCAATGTCACTTCTTTGCCCTTTTTTAACCTACACAACACAACACAACTGGCTCACCCACAATGTAAAAGCAGCTGTGCTAGACTCAAAATGGCCCCGCAACAAGCAGGAACCTCACACAGCCACAAAAAGCCCAAAAAAACAACTTTCATACTTTACACACACACAACACAACACAACACAACTGGCTCACCCACAATGTAAAAGCAGCTGTGCTAGACCCAAAATGGCCCCTGCAACAAGCAGGAACCTCACACAGCCACAAAAAGCCCAAAAAACCACAAAATTCCACATACAGCTTTGTGAGATTTTGTGTGTTTGTGTAGTTAGAGTGAAACACTACAGAAACACACTAAATCTCAGAAAGCTGCACAAATATTATTTTATTTTTATTTATTTTTATTTTTATATAAAAGCAGCTAAATTTAAAACTTCCTAAACTTTAAATGGCCAGGTCTAAAAAAAGAATGACTAAAAAAAACCCCAATTAACTATTTTTTTTAAAGCTCCCAAAGGGGAAAAAACTTACCCAATAGAACAGTTGTCTCCAACCTTGGCAACTTTAAGACTTGTGGACTTCAACTCCCAGAATTCCTCAGCCAGCTTTGCTGGGAGTTGAAGTCCACAAGTCTAGGCAGGCAGGCAGAAAGAGCTGCTCACCGATGAGCTTGATTGCAGGCAGGGAGATTCAGTTGCTTGCTGATGCATGGATTGCGATCATCATGCGATCAGCAGCTAAGGTAAGCAAGCTGGAGGGGGGGGGAGAAAAAAAGAAACTTTTTTTCTTTTACATGGCTCTGGCGATCCAAGCTGAGTTGCCTGGTTAGCAGGCTACTCAGCTGGGATGTCAGAGCTTGGCTGGTCAGAGCCATTTAAAAGGAAAAAAAAGGCTCTGATGATCGCGGGCCTCAGCTGGGCATGGGGGGCAGGGGCAGGGATTTTTCCTACCGGTTCTCTGAACTTCCCGCCGCTATCGCTACCTACTCGCCCGAGCCGGTCCGAACCGGGAGCATGTCACCCCTGCTTCCATTCTAAGATGATTTAATAGTTAAACTACATATATTTTGGAGTCATTACTGTTCTTTGGCTTGAACCTCTATCTGGCTCACTCAATGTCTTATCACTGGACAATACTATTTGGCTGATTCAGCCACTGAATGTTGTGAGAAAATGGTTCTGATCAGAGTTGTATCCTGAGAGGAAACTTAAACTTTGTTCTTATCTGTTCTTTGCCGAAGACATTGGGTGCTTAGAAGAGGAATGGAGAATTTATAATTTAAGGGTCAAAGGGAACTTATCAGGCTTCCCCTCTCATTGTCTTTAATTCTGTCTTCTTTGTTGTTTAGCATTATCTTCATATTAAGGATATCACTTCTTGCTTTCTCCTTCATGCTTGGTGGGAGGGATGAACCATCTTGCTCCATCAGCAAAAGAAAATAGGAAATAGAAAATGCTCCATTTTAGCCATCATAGGGAAAGCATGGGCTTCCTAATTGGAACCCCATCTCCTGCTGTTATTTAGCTTGCTGGAGGAAAGTATATTCTTAAGCTATTTTCTGTTCTTTCATTTTAAAAGATAGCTTGCATCTCATTGCCTTTTTAAAAAATGTATCTTATTTACAAACTAATCAGCAGGTAGCATGAGTATGTTTTTTAAGAAGAAAAATTGTCCTGTAACTGATATATATATACAATTAGGATGTTGATACAGCTTAATTACATAATACTTTTCTTGATATGTATATTAAAAATGTTAACTCAGTTCTTTTGTTATAGATACTACACAGACAACTGTTGTACATGTAACACAACTAGAGAGAGATACCATTTTAGTCTGCTTGGATTGTAAGTGACAACTATGATCCATATATAAATATTTGGATATGGTGCACTGTGAAATGTTGCTGAGTAATAAATGTTTTTACTTTTTCAGGCTGTATAAAAATTGTAAATTTGCAAGGCAGATTAAAATCTAGTCGAAAACTGTCCTCCGAACTCACCTTTGATTTCCAAATCGAATCAATAGGTGAGTAAAAATGAACCTAGCATTTAGTCAACTAACTATTCTAATACTTCGCTATATTATATAATGAAAATTTGCATTATATAGATGAAAATTTGAAGGTAGAAAGATGCTCAGTATGCACAATTTTAATGTCTCTAATGACAAGCCAAGTCATGTCATATATTGTTAAAAACAGATATAAAATTAGGACAATCTTATCCTTCCAAAACGTAGTCAACGGAAAACCAAAAATGTTTGACTATAAACTTTCATTGGATTATTCTTTATAATAATTCTCTTTATAATTCTCTAAAGTTTTAATATCCCTGGAAATCAAGTTAACTAAAAGATATATGAGGCCTTCCATGTTCCTTAAGGCGTCCTGCACGCCTTACAGTGGTTAGAATGCAGTATTGCAGGCTAATTCTGTCCACAGTCTGGAGTTCAATTCCGATGGGATCAAGGTTAAGTCAGCCTTCCATCCTTCCAAGATTGGTAAAATGAAGATCCAGAATGTTAGGGCAATATGCTAACATTGTACACTGTTCAGAGAGTGCTGCGAAGCGCTATGGAGTGGTATATAAGTCTAATTGCTACTGCTAATATCTTACCTGACTCTTATTTCCATGTAATTTGAATGAATTTCAAATTCATTCATTGGTTCTGGTCCTTCCCTCCTGGGTGACAGAAAATAAATTCTCTCTTTGAGAATTTATTCTCAGATATCTGAAAACTACTGTTGCATCTCCCCCTCAATCTTCTCTTTTGCCAGTTAAAATTAATTAGTTCCTTTAACTATTCCTCAGAGAGCTTGGTTTCATGTCCCCTACCATCTTGGTAGTTCTCCATGCTGGCGTCAGGGACACATATTTCAAGTGAGGCCTTGATCAAAGTAGAACGTAGTAAGATAATTACTGTTCATGGACTCAGTGTTTCTGATAATATAATCCCAAAATAGCATTTGCTTTATAGCATTCTGCCCATCCAATTTAGGATATCACATGGAAGATTCAGAATACTGGAAGGAAACAAGTTTGTCACATATAAGAAAAAGATGAAAACTTGCACCCTAAACTTCAGTCCTTCATTCATTAAATAATGTATAGAATTAATACAGTTTAATAGAAAAGTGTTTTTTTAGAACCCAGTCACAAAAAAATCTAATTTGTGTTTTCTTTCCTGCCAGTTTGCTTACAAGATAGCGTTTTGGCTTTTTGGAAGCATGGAATGCAAGGCAGGAGTTTTCGTTCAAATGAGGTAAATATTGAGAGATGAAAAAAAATATTTAATTCTTGAAAAATAATCTGAAAATGAAATAATTTTTAGTATTCTTATTAGCTGAAACTTCAGATTATTTTGCAAACTATGGTAGCTGTAAATACATTTCCTCTCATAGAAATGGCTGAGAAACATAGCAATCCAAGATATTAAGTAGAAATATTGGTTTTTCTGTGAGTTCACTCAATAACTGGGGGGGGCGCGTGCGTCGGGAGCGGCCCAGGAGTTCATGACTTCCATGGCAGCCATGGATCTGACCCAGATAATACAGGCCCCGACTCATCGGGGGGGACACACGCCCGATCTAGTTTTTATCTCGGAGCAGTGGCGAAGTGAGTTCGGTGGGGGTGAGCCAGCTATTCAACCCCTGTCATGGTCCGATCACTATCTCCTTAGGCTGGGCTTCCATTATGCCGCTCCCCACCGCTGGGAGGCGGAACCAACCACCTGGCCTGATGGACCCTGAGCGGTTCCAAACGGAGTTTGGGATTATACCTGTCTCTCTTTCCCACGCCCTGGTCGAGACTCTAGTGGATGCCTGGGAAAAGGCGACTGCCGGGGCTCTCGACCGGGTCGTGCCTTTGCGGCCTCTGACCCAACGCAGATCCCGGTTGGCCCCTTGGTTTACTGAGGAGCTCCGGGAGATGAAGCGTTGGAGGAGAGGCCTGGAGAGCTGTTGGAGATCCAGTGTTCCGAGTCTGACCGAGCACAGTTGAGATCTTTCACTCGATCTTATCTGGTGGTGATGGAGGCGATGAAGCGTATTTACTTCTCCGCCCTCATCGCATCTGCAAATAATCGCCCGGCCGCCCTATTTATGGTGTCCCGCTCCCTTTTAAGTCAGGGAGTGGGAGATGACCATATGTGGGGGCGGGCCAAGGAGTATAGTCAGCATCTGCGGGACAAGATCGCTCGGATTCGGGATGGGCTGGGCTCCAGCTGGGCAGGGTCAGTCGGGGAGGTGACGGCGGGACTGGTGATGTGGGACGAGTTTGATCCTGTTACTCCCGAGGAAGTGGACAGGATCATGGGGAAGCTGAGTACCTCCACGTGTTTGTTGGACCCGTGTCCCTCCTGGCTCGTTTATTCGGTCCGGGAGGTTACACGTGGCTGGATCCAGGCAGTTATTACGGCTTCCTTGGGTGAGGGGAGTTTCCCGGCCACCTTGAAGGAGGCGATGGTGAGACCCCTCCTCAAGAAACCTGCCTTGGATCCAGCTATTTTGAATAACTTTCGTCCTGTCTCCAACCTTCACTTTATTGCGAAGGTTGTTGAGAGTGTGGTGGCACATCAGCTCCCGTTGGCCCTGGATGAAACATTATATCTGGACCCGTACCAGTCGGGTTTCAGGCCCGGGTACAGCACGGAGATGGCATTGGTCGCACTGGTGGATGATCTCTGGAGGGCTCGGGACAAGAGACATTCCTCTGTCCAGGTCCTATTAAATCTCTTGGCAGCTTTGATACCATCGACAATGGTATCTTGCTGCGGCGCCTTGAGGGGTTGGGAGTGGGAGGCACTGTTTTACAGTGGTTCTCCTCCTACCTCTCTGGGCGCTCGCAAGCGTTGTTGGTGGGGGGACAGAGGTCGGCCCCGAGGCCCCTTACGTGTGGGGTCTCTCAGGGGTCAGTCCTCTCTCCCCTTCTGTTCAACATTTATATGAAGCCGCTGGGGGAGATCATCCGTGGTTTTGGGGTGGGGTATCATCAGTATGCTGATAATACCCAACTCTTTATATCCACCCCGAATCAGCCCAGTGATGCCCTCGACGTGATGTCCCGGTGCCTGGAAGCGGTGTGGCTCTGGATGGGGAGGAACAGGCTTCAGCTCAACCCCGCCAAGACAGAATGGCTGTGGATACCGGCATCCCGGTTCCAAGGGAATATTCCATTGTTGGCTATAGGGGGTGAGGTGTTGCCCCCTGTTGATAGGGCATGCAACTTAGGCGTCCTCTTGGATTCACAGTTGACTTTTGAAGATCATGTTACGACCATGACCAGGGGGGCATTTGCCCAGATTCGTCTGGTGCGCCAGTTGCGCCCCTACCTGGACCGTGATGCCCTATGCACAGTCACCCATGCGCTCGTCACCTCCCGGATCAACTACTGCAATGCTCTCTACATGGGGCTGCCCCTGAAGACCACTCGGAGGCTTCAGCTAGTGCAGAATGCGGCTGCGCGGATAGTAATGGGAGTGACCCGACACTCCCATGTTACACCTCTCCTGCGGGACCTGCATTGGCTACCAGTTGCCCTCCGGGTGAGATTCAAGGTGCTGGTAATTATCTATAAAGCCCTATATGGCTTAGGCCCGGGGTATTTGGTTGACCATCTGCGGTCAGCAACAGCTCCCCATCACCCGGTGCATTCTCACAGGGAGGGCCTCCTTTGGGTACCGTCGGCCAGACAATGTCGGCTGACGACCCCTAGGGAGCGGGCCTTCTCTATGGGCGCACCTACCCTGTGGAATCGGCTCCCCTTGGAGCTCCGGGTGGCCCCTAACCTTCGCTCTTTCTGCCGTGACCTTAAAACATGGTTATTTCGCCTGGCTGGTTTGGACTGAAGGGGTTTTAAAGGGGATTTTAATGGTCTTTTTATAATCTTATTGGGTATTTTTAACATTGATTTTGCTTGTTTTTATTGTTGTGAGCCGCCCTGAGTCCTTTCGGAGATAGGGCGGCATACAAGTTCAAATAATAAATAAATAATAAATAAATAACCTAAAGTACTCCCTTAGCCTTAGTCACCCCGTATGGAAAAGAGGTGAATAATGATAACATATACCATAAATTTTATTTTTATTTTATTTTTTTTATTTAACTGTACAGTTTGAGTCAGTTAGCAGTTTGTGTATTATAGAATTAATTTCAGTTCCCCTGAAATACTGCACTAATACTTAAAAGTAGGGCTGCTAGATCTAGGCTACCAATGTTGAGACTTTGGTAGCCTAGACCAAAGTACAAAGACTTAGGTTTTCTATTCTGTTTTGTTTCTATCTAGTAAATGTCCAGAAATTGCTGCTAGGTTTGGTAGCCCTAGCTAGTTAGCCATTGTGTATATATGTGTATGTATGTATTTATTCAATTTAGATATGACTTCAGTTAATTTTATTTAATATTGCCAAGTAAAATGCTTGCAAAGTTTGATTCATTGAGCATTTGTTATATGCACTTTCACTCTGTTAAATATTTGATTTTTCAAATAGATCACCCAGGAAATTTCTGACAGTACAAGAATATTTAGACTCCTTGGATCTGACAGGTATGATCAATCACAATCACAACATATAAGGAAGGAGTAGTTTTGGAATAAATTATCTATTAGGCTTGGGACTCATTACATTAGTAGCTGCCAAACTCATTCTTTTGCTGAGGAGAAGCAGGAATCACTAGACCTGCTATGTACAATTTTCTTGCTTGTCTTTCTCTTCTGGACAGCTTTAAGTATTGGACTTTAGAGACTCAAATCCTTCCATCATTTATAGGGAATGAACTTGGCCAGTGTGTTATTGCCATTCAGGCACCTCACTGGGCAAGTGACCAATCCCTGGTAGCTGCTCTCTCATTTAAGGTGTGATTGGATAAAGGAAAACAAGCATACTTGATTAGATCAAGAAAAAGACTCTCAATTGGCTTATGTTGTGTCACATGCCCCATTCTGCCCAAATCTGAAAGCAAGACCCAATTAAGGGCTTTCATAAAGGTTTTATATATTTGCCAAAATTATTGTTTTTGGGACGTTCTTTTTTCCCCCAGAGTTGTGGTACTGGAGAGTAGACCAACAGATAATCCTACTGCCAATAGCAACTTGTACATCTTAGCAGGTCATGAGAACAGTTACTGAGAGGCAACAAGATAAGGAAACACTACTGCTTCAATACATCTGACAGCAATTGCACAAAAGCGAAAGGATCCCAACCACAGTTATTTTGTAATTTATTGTAGTGTATGAGTATGAGTGAGAACAAGAATGCTTGCCTGAATGATATGCATATGATTAGCACATTCTACAGAACTCTTGATTCACTATTATGTAATGTTTGTACATATATGCAGTATTTTTTGTTGAAGTGTATTACTGGAGGCCTCTCTTGATTTTTCTGTAGATAATGAACAAAATGTTTTACTTGTACAGATATGTAAAGTTTGCTGAGGACAGAAAATTGTGTTTGGGTACTATTTTAAGGACTAATGGGATGCTATTGATAAACAGTGCATTTAAATAACACTATTGTATTTTATTATGTAATTTACTAATATAAATAAATCTTATCTTTTAGACATTGTAATCAAGGCAGTAATCCTATTACAATCTTGTTTTTAGTTCTATGCAAGTACACTGGTGTTTTGGTTGCACAAAGTGTTAATATGTAATGTATTCAGTCACAAAAGTACATTTGTGGAAATAATTTAGGCGTTATAATTTTAGCTTATTTAGGTAGTTCTCTTTGTGAAACCAGCCAATTGAACACCTATATTTTTATATTTAAGGAAAATTCTCTTTAATTATTTTCTATGCTTGGAGAAAAAAAATACCTATTTTGAAATGGGAATAAATCCAATAGTGGTACCTTGGTGTAATTATAAGTGTGTACAATGATAATATAAGCTTTATTATGATGAGTCTTACTAGCTTCTATATCATGCAAAAATTTACAGCACTCCACACTGTGGAAGTGTTTAAATATTTGGAGTTAGATCCAGATAGCCATGTGCAAAAGGCCTTAGTACTGTATGCAGTACTTTGCAGATATTCATTAGCACTTGCATTAAAACAACGTATACATTTTCCTTCATTAAGAAGAGATTGACTATCACTAATGAATTGCCATTGTACCCTATTGGATCTGCAGAGCTCCTCTCTGATTCTTATAGGATGATAGGGCCATAGGGCTCCTGCTGGATTCCATGTGTAGACAGAAGCTTTTCTTATAGCGAGGAATATGAATCAATGGTTTTAAAATTGCATTCAAGGATCTTTGCTCTTCCTCAGACATAGCAACAAAGTTTTCAAACAAAAAATCAGTAACAGAGGAAAGCATTTCTTTAAAAAAGGAAATGCTTATTGCAACTGGTTTTCCCAACCCTAACCCTCACCCTAACCCTAACCCTAACTTCAGAACAAATGTAGACTGGCCTCCGTTCAGGAGCTGGAAAGCCAGCAACTCATATGCACCCTAACAACATGAGTGGTGAAATTATGATCTTCCTTGTGATGCTGAGCTACAACTTCTAAATGCCAGTTGTGAGGGAAACTAGAGTATATTAATAATTAGTAGAGGATAACAGCTTCTTGGCACTAATATATAACATGCAACATGCACATATGTTTTTCTGAAAAGAAGGATGCTTCCAACCCACTGCCATCAAGGACACCATATATTGACTACCTGTTTTGGAGAAAAAGTGATACTAGGTGGGGCAACTGTTTTAAGGAATCTTGCTTTTGTTTAAAAAATGTTTTGCCTTACTACTGTTGTCACATTTTTTTCTCTTAATGTCTTAACACCTAGCCAGAATTATTTAGTTACTACCTCACAAAATTAAATGGTTATAACACATTCACAGGAATTTTAGTTTTGAGCAAAACTGTTCTGATTCTTTTCAGTGCGATATGTAGATGCCATGTTTTAGGGATAATACATACTTTTTTGTATATGTTCTTTATACTGTGATATAAAGTAAGAACAAAGTACATTAAAACTGATTTATGGTCTGTATTGTTGTTGGTAATGAATATTTCCTTATGTATATAATGTAAAATAAAGTTTTTAACATGTTTGTTGTTCATATGGATTAGCATCTGCAGTAATTGTCCAATGAAATTTAGCACTTGCTAATTGAGGAAGAATATTTTTACTGAAATCAGCTTTGATTGCCAAAAAAAAAATTCAGACACCCTGATAAATAAATTAACTTCCTTTAAATTATACTGCATAATACAAAGTAACCATTGCGGCATAAGTACGTCTAATATTATTAGCGTCTAAAGAAATCCTCTTACTCTTACAGAATCTTTTGGCTTTTGATTTTCCCCCCATGACATGCCCTGGTTAATTGTATTCTGCTCCATTGCAGCGATGGTGGTGGAAGTAGCTCCAAGGCTTGTGTGCGCTCATTCAAAGGATCAAAGAATTGTGGGGATAGAAGTGATCATAAAGATCATCTAGTCCACAGGTGTCAAACTTGATCGCGTCGCGGGATGGATTGTGACGTATCACTTTTTTGCCTTTGCAGAGCCAGGGTGGGTGTGGCCTGTGCGGGCCGTATTTGGCCCACGGGCCATCAATTTGACAGGCCTGATTCTAGTCTAACCTTTCATGCTTGTTCACTTTCCAGCAACAGAGCACATTCCCCTCTATTTGAGCTGAAACCTTGCTCTTTTCTTTTTAAATGAATACTTTTTTTAAAGTTCTCCAGCACAGAGCCACACACAGCAACACTTGTATACATGGGCATCCACCAGGTGACAAGGAGAAATGATGTAATGTGTCAAAATTTCACAGTGCAAACTCCTTCTTTTATACATGTGTTGTAATGTAATGGGATGAGTGATCGTTACAATGAACATTCTGAAGAAAGCTTGCTGCAGACATACCTGTTGAGAAGTCTTATTGAAAAGCCAAGCTAGTAATTATTGACCAGCTGCACTATGAGAAAGCTTTTATTTCCTATCAAATCTAAGCAGACTGATATCAGCTTACAGAATACCAGAACAGCCATAATGGCACAGTAAAGTAGATATAAGTAAACTACACATATTACTACATTTTTTATTGGTTCCTTCAAGTTAGTGTTGAGTCCTTCTGAACACCTGGACAACCCTGCAGTTTTCTTGGCAAGATTGCAAAAGTAGTTTGCCTTTGCCTCCTTCCTAGGGCTGAGAGACAGTGATTGGCCCAAGGTCACCCATTGCCTTTGTGCCTAAGGCAGGACTAGTATTCATGGTCTTCCAGTTTCTAGCCTGGTGCCATAATTACACCAAATTGGTTCCAACCACAATTAAACTCTACAATAACTTAACTACAGATAGTCCTTGACTTACAACGTTTGTTTAATGGCCATTGGCTACCTGCGTTAACTAACTTACCAACTGCAGTGACTCAAGTGTGGCAGGAAAGGTCGTAAAATGAGGCAAAAATTTCTCGCTTAAATTTTGAGTTCAATTGTGGTCTAAAGTCACATGACCAAAATTCAGATGCTTGGCAACTGGTTCATATTTATGACCGTTGCTGTGTCCCAAGGTCATGTGATCCCCTTTTCCTGTAATTTGCTCACATTGTCGTAATTTAGAAATAAGCAGTAAGCTGGCTGTTTACAGCTACTCCACATAGAGTGGTAGAAAGTTAAAATGATGAATTCCTAAAAGATCTCTTTAAACTGGGTGAGTAGAATTTTCCTAATCTGAGGTCTTCTGGAGCAAGGGTCACCTTGTGGTGGGTTGTTACCGGTTTGCCTCGGTTCAGGTGAACCTGTAGCAGCAGCAGTGGGAGGCTCCGCCCACCCACCTGGATGTCATCAAATACAATCTGCGCAGAAGCTCCTGCGCATGTGCAGAAGTGGCACGAGCGAACGGTAGCAAAGGTAAGTGAAACCCACCACTGGTCACCAACCTTTCGGACCTCAGGGACCACTAAATTCATAATTTTAAATCCCGCAGACCACTAATTTGATTTGTTTAAAAAGATAAATAGTATTTAGTGCAATATAAAAAATGCAAATAATTTTTCTGCGGACCATCAAAATTTTCTCGCAGACCACCAGTTGGCAACAGCTGTTCTGGAGCACTGGAAAAAGGCTGTTCTGCCATTCTCCGTAATTTTTTTTCTCCTCAAAATACTAGGAACGGGGGCATTCAATTACACTAACTGGAACTTTAAAATAGCACATAATCCATGAATAGCCACAAGATATTGTGAAGAATATCTACCTCTGAATAACTACCTTGGAATGAGAAATTTATGGAGGAAGTCGGTAAAATGAGGACCCAGATTGTTGGGGGCTGACACTAGTAAACCATTTAGAAAGGGCTGTGAAGCGATATATAAGTCTAAGTGCTATTGCTATCAGGGGTTGCTACCCTTGAAGACTCAATGTTATCTCCAAACATTGCTTGCATGGGAACAAAGACAGGAGAAAGCTTTGTCGTCGTCTCCCATTTGTAAGCCCTGGAATGGGCATGGCGCTTTTATGACATTTTTCTGGAATTTCAAACAGGTGAAGGGAAGAGACATCCTTCAGCAGTGTTTCTCAACCTTGGTAGCTTGAAGATGGGTGGACTTCAACTCCCAGAATCTGGATTCTGGGAGTTGAAGTCCACCCATCTTCAAGCTTCCAAGGTTGAGAAACACTGCTTCAGAGGCTCATCCCGGACTTTCCTTCCTGTACATTTTTTATTTTGGGTTATGGAAGCCGAGGAAACTATTTTACATGATTGCAGTTCATGGTACAGGCAGTTTCCAGACAGTTTAGGAAAACAAGATTAGACATATTTTAAACTTGATTCCTGAACTGCAAAGCTAAGGAAAATTGTTCCCGCCCCCCAAGGAAAATGTTAACAGCACAAATTGGAGAATCTGAATTAATTTTCTTAAGAGTAATCAAAGTTATTCTTGTGCCGCCAACATAACGCCACACATCTTCGTAACTGCACGGGAAAACACGCCTTCAAGCTTCCTGTAATTCCACAGAATCCGCAACGTTCGTTTACTGTCAAACCAATTATACGAAGGAATCCAGTATTATCCCGCTTTGTTTTGTTTTGAATGTTCAAGTAGAGACCGACGACGAAGTCATGAGTCCTCCAAGCCACAGGCGGCGCTTGGACAGATCACGCCTCCCCACCCCCTTTCCAAAGCTCAAAACAGCTTCGCTCAAACATTCGGCTTTCGATTCTCGATCCTAGACCGAGCAGAGGTTATGATTAGCTCACAGTCTCACTTCCGCACTTCGGAGGAAGAGGAAAAGGGAAAGCAAAGCGAACAACTTCCAAAGAAGACGCTTCGGGAAGAAGAAGAAAAAAAAGAGAGAGAGAGGAGTAACTGAACCTGAGGTGCGCATGCCCAATCAGCCTTCGCGCTAACTGCGCATGCGTCGGCGGTTATAACCATCAGGGCAAGGGAAGAATCCCGAGAGTTCAAAGCTGCAGTCGAGACCCTGCCCCTTCTTCTCCAGAGTAACCGTCATTTTCCTCTCGTGGACGGTTTCCCCTCGGACCTTTTTCAGTCTCGGACCTGTCAAGACGAGAGATAGGATGTCCGGTGGTGTCTTGTCCCAGGCCGGTCCCGGCGCTGAGTGAGACAAGGCCAGGCCGGGCGGCGGGTGACCGGGAAAGGGATGTCGCCTCCGTCCCCCGACGTTGGGTTTTGCCGCTGCCGCCTTTGGCGGCTCCCGCTGCCTCTGTCCTCCTCCGGTGGTTCTGGTCGCTGCCTGCGACCTTCACTCCAAGCCCGGGAGCAACGTCGGGCTCGGCCTCGGCAGTGATTCCCGTCGTTTCCCCGCCACCCCTTAGGGGGCGGGACGGGGTAGGCAAGATGCAAGCGGCTCCGCTGCAGTACGAGTTCTTCAGTGAAGAGAATGCACCCAAGTGGCGGGGTCTGCTTGTGGCCGCCCTAAAAAAGGTGAGAGAGGCTTTATCCTTCCAGCGCACGTTGGATTTACAAATACCTCGAGAAGAAGGCTGCAGATGAGCCCGTGAAGGTTAGATAATTCGTGCAGATTAGAGATCGGTTAGACAGACAGACAGACAGATAAGGCGTGAAGATTTAGATATACAGTTATATAGTTAGCGCCTGGGGTTGTTGACTGTTGGCAAGTAGTTGAGGTATTTGGTAACTTTCCGTGGGAGAACCTATATACCTTATTCCCTAATCACTGTGCTTGGATATACACCAGGGAATTGTGATAATCGAATGTCAGTACCTGCATAATTTGCCTTTGGAAAAATCAGCGTGCACATTCTGCAAAATGCATGCTAGACTGCAGTAGAAATCCATGCACTGTGTTGAAAAGAACCCCCAGCAGTTGCTGGCCATTAGTCTCTTGTATCTGCTGAGAGACAAATAGTGGAAAGGGAGGGGAAAAAATTGAAGGAACTAAAAGAAGACAAAGAGTATTTTCCCAAAAAAAATCTGATTGATCATAATAACATGCGCAAGTAATTCAGCATATTAGAGGAGAGAGTATTGGGAAAGTTAAATAGCCTTGAGATATTAGAAGAAAGACTACTTCAACTGTTTATGAGAAACTGGTGTTCTGCTTTGCTTTTCCTAAAGCCATTCTTATGTATTCTCTTATTTTAATTTGAATGGACGTGAATCAAGAATTTTGCTGAAAATAAATGATTCAGGATTAAGTGCTTGGATAGGAGACCACCTGGAAATCTTATTTGGTGTTTTGGATGCTATGATGAAAGGCATTATATAAATCTATTAAATGGATAATGCTGTATAGTGAATATATGTGTCTTAGCCTAGTCATATATTTTATTCTACTCTATATGCATGTTTTCTATATATTATATGTATATTGCTGCATGCATTGCATTTTCTTGATTGGAGCAGTGATCTAAGATTAAGCATTTCAGAGCAATTGAGATTTAAATATGTCTATGTTACATCAATGATTGTGCTTAAACTTTTATGCTCCAGTTGAAAAACGTATGGTAAGGTTTTGCAGCTGCTTCCCTACTTCACTTTGTTTACTGGAAATGTGTGAGTTGAATACTACTGCCAGCTATAGTTTAATTAAATGAAGTGTTACTATCAATAGGATCTGTATTTCGTTTATGT